TTGTCCGAATGACAGGACAGCCCTAAGAGGCAGGGACTGTTAGTGTCCCCATTCATGGATGAGGAGACTGAGCCACAGATAGTCACTAGCTGGACAATGCAGAGTTGGGATTAAACTCAGGTGACTCCAAAGTGGAGCTCTGCCACACCTATTTGCCTTAACATCCCCTGTGAGTTGTAGGGACTGAGCCGGCATCGTGGGAAGGGTGGAATGGTCTGTAACAAGAGAGGAGGTGGTTATGGACAAGGTCCTGCCAGCAGCTTGGTACACTTAGTGGGGGCAGTGGGGCGGGGGGGAGGATGACCTTGTGTGAGGTGCCCTGTGTCTGCATGGGAGAGGCGCCCCACACGGATCACGAAGTGTTCCCGACCCACAGAAGATGCTCAGTGTCTACCTGTGAATGGTTGGCGTCAGGGTTCCGCCAAGTGAGGAAGCCCTGCCTGCAAGCTGACTGGGGCATAGATGGAGATGGCACAAGGACAGACACTATTTAATTAAAATAGCCTTGCAAGGATTTAAATTGTATTAGAAAATGCAAGTAGCAATTGAATCTGTGTTTTCACAGATGGTTTTGCTTCTAATGAGCCAAGTAAAAATGGGAGTCATTGAAAAAGGATTCAAGTGGCAAAAAAAAAAAAAAAAAAAAAAGAATTGGAAGCAATCTAAATATTGTCCAACATGGGACTGGTTAAATAAATTAAAATACATCCAAAGAACGGAGATTGAGCAGTCCTCATAAAGGGCTGGAGATTCCATGGCTCTGGCCACGGCAAGTCAACACAGCATTGAATATCAAACAGTGTGCAGCTGGAGCCCATGCTGAGGACTGGGTGGGACGGGAGGAGGCCACCTGGGGGAAGGGGGACTCTGGTTTTCCTGTCTTCCTCTGGCCACTCTGCCTTTCAGGGACTTCAGGCCTGTGCACTCTGGTGCCCGCTGGCCTGCCTGGGCTCTAGCTGAGGCAGGACCCAGAACCCACGGGATCAGGATGCCCTTTTCTTTTCAACAGATTTTTATTTATTTCCTTCATAGAGAGAAAGAGAGCACAAACAGGGTGAGCAGGAGAGGGAGAAGCAGGCTTCCCGCTGAGAAGGGAGCCCGATGTGGGGCTGGATCCCAGAACCCTGGGATCATGACCTGAGCCGAAGGCAGACACTTAACCGACTGAGCCACCCAGGCGCCCCCAGGATGCCCTTTTCTGACTCCGAGGGAACCATGAGGCAGGAGCCTTGGCCTGCCCCTGACATGGCTCTGGAGCACACAGGGCAGGCTCTCGGTCTCCTCTGGGCCGGCTCCTTCTCCTCATGTTCACCCACACTCAGGCTGTCCTCTCTGCCTTTGAGACCCTTCCCTACCCCATTCTCCTGGGGGCTTCCTCTATCTCTCTGACGCTGGCTTCCCATTACTCCTCAGCACAACCTTAAGTGAAGTGTCGTCCTGGTCCTCCCTTCCCAGAGCCCCCTCCACATGCCCCCACCTGTTCTTCCTCCTGTTAGTCCCTCTCAGAGACCATCTGGGATCTCCCTGCTTCTGTGGTCCTTTCTCTGCACCATAGTCAGAGAGATCCTTTTGAAACGATGTCACTCCATCTGCTTAAACTCCTGCAATGGGGAGCAAGCCTCCTGCAGGAAGCAGCCTCATCGTTGCCCCAGCCCAACCTCCAGTGATCTGACCTGAGCTTCATACATCGCTGCTGCTGCCAGGCCAAGGGTCCTCGGGGCCCCAGCTGGGCAGCCCCGGCAGGAAGACAGTCTCTGCTTGGTGTCCTTCCCAGGGCAGAACTGCCCACTCTCTGCCCGGGCCCTTGTGTCTCCACCTGGTCTTCCCTGGAGATTAGCCTTCCTGGAGGAAACCCGTTCTGATTCATCTGAATCTCTGGCATCCAGCGCCGGGCTGGATCACAAAAAATAACTGAGCCGGGAGAGCACACCCTGTGGGTTTCCAGCCCATGGCTCTGGACCGACTTTGAGTCTCCAGTCTGCCCTCAGGCAAGCATCCTATCAGTTTGTGCCCCAGTTTCTTCATCTTCAAAATGGGTATGATTGATACCTTACATGAAAGAATCCTGTACAGTGCTCAGCTTCAAAGAGCTAACTCAATACTGTCTTAGAAAGAATAAAAGGAATTTGCATGTGTTCGTGGCAGCATTATTCATAATAAGTAGAAAAGGTGGAAACAACCCAAACGCGATGGATAAATCAATTGTGGTCTATCCAGATAATGGAATATTATTCAGCTATAAAAAGAAATGAAGTATGGTCACATGCTACAACATGCTACAACATGCTACAACATAGATGGATCTGGAAAACATTATGCTAAGCAAAACAAGCCAAAGGAAAGCCCACGTATGTAATTCCACTTATATGAGAATGTGCAGAAAAGGCAAACCACACAGACAGAAACTGGTTGCCAGAGGCTGGAAGTAGGGGAGAACGGGAGTGACTGCTAAGGGGACAGGTTTCCTTTCCTTTCCGGACAAGGTTCTGGAACTAGATGGTGGTGATGCTCCTACAACACTGTGAATGCGCTAAATGTCACTAGTGGTGACTCTTACGTTATTTATTACAATCTAAAAGATATGCATTAGTGTAAAAGGGGTAGTGAAGCTACCCGAGAGCCAACCCCAATTCGGGGTCTTCCTTGGGACCCGGCAACCAGCAAGGGAGGTTCTGACCCGAGGCGGTGGGGCCACGGCGGTAAGCACCACACTACTTGTCGGAGCCGGGGCCGTGCCCAGCGAGCCGCCCGCCAGCCTCAACCATCCGGCGACTCTGTCCCGCCTGACGCCGCTCGGGGAAGCCAGCCCTCCCCTCCGGCGTGGCCAAGACCCTGCCGCACCAAGCCCCGCCCTGAGGGCGCGCCTCTGACCCCGCCCTTCCGCCTGTCTGTCCGCTCCGCCGTCCCACGCCCCCGAGCAGCCCCGCCCCGTGCCTTCTCTCCGGGAGTCTGGCCCCGCCTCTGCGGTTCCAGGCCCCTCCTCTCAGACTCCGCCCCGCCGCCTGTCTGTCAAACGAACCTGGCCCCGCCTCGTCGTCCTCCTCTCGTCGTTCTCTCTGGCTCCCTTCAGCGCGGCCCGTTGTTATGACGACACGGTCGTAAATCCGCCATCTTCCTGCGGCGCGTTGCGACATGGAGGGCGCGATGGCAGTGCGGGTGACGGCCGCGCATACGGCAGAAGCCCGGGCCGAAGCCGGGCGGGAGGCGGGCGAGGGCGGGGTCGCGGCGGCGGCGGCGGCGGCGGCGGCCTTGGCCCCTGGTGGCTTCCTAGGCCTCCCGGCGCCCTTTAGCGAGGAAGGTAACAGGGCCTGACGGGGTCGGGCGCGGCCGGGGTGGGGACGGCTCAGTCCTGGCTGGAGGCAGCCCCGATGGCCTGAGCTGTGGACGCGACAGACCGTCCCAGACCCTGGTTCCTTGCGGCCCTCCCGGGTCCCCAAGGGGGTCCTGTGTAGCCCTCCACGAGCCCCCCCCCGCCGGCTTCCTCAGACCCTCGGGCCTCTCCTACGGGGCGCCCATCACCCCGTGGGCCTCGGTGCCCATTCACGGACACTCACAGGTGGTCAAGCCTCAGGGGCTGCCCGTATAGACCTTTGCCACCGCCTCCACGGCCAGCCTTGCCCCTCAGGCCCGCGGTCCGGCTCGTCTTCGCCTGTCTGGGCACGGCCCTGCTCTCCTTTGGGCCCCCTCCCACTGCACCTGACGGGCCTCTAGAGCCCTGGCTGGGGTGGAGCTGGAGGCTGCGGGGGGGGGGGGGGGAGGCGGGGCCTCGGGGCTCCAGGGCTCCGGGCTGGCCCTTGGGGAGACAGCAGAGCCCAGTGGTGGTGAGCCGGTGCTCCCTGCAGCCAGCCTGCGAGCTTCATCTCAGACCTGCCGCTTTCTGGCTAGTTGATCCTGGGCAGGTGAGCCTCCCTTTCCCCTTACAAAATGGGGAGGATGTTGTCGCTGCTAGTAATGTGTTAGGCACTTACCCCGCCTTGGCATTTTCATCCTAAAACCAACCCTGGAGGCTCTTACTGTTGTTATTCCCATTTTGTGGATGAGGGAAATTGAGGTTCAAAGATGTCAAAGTGATCAGGTCACCCAGCTAGTAAGTAGCAAGGACTGGATTGTGTGACTCCTCAGCCAGGTCCCCTAACTGCTGGGCTCTGCAGCCTTCCAGTGGTGGTGACAAGGAAGGTAGAGTACGTGGTGACCCGCTGAGAGCAGTGCACACCCAGGGCTGGCTCACAGGTGCACGGATAGCTTTTCAGACAGAAGGAGGGTCTTTATCCTCAGCTCTCCAGGTTGGCTTGAGAGGAGGGGGCTGGCTGGTGCTACTGGGGTGGTAGTCCCTCTCTCCACAGAGCTCATATTCTCAGTACGTTTTTTTTCTTGCTCCTTCTTATTCCAGCTGGGGAAGGGCAGGACCATTAGGGGCAGTGCCAACCTGGAGAGGGATCTCTTTGGAGGTTGCTGTGCCCTGCTGGGCTCGCCCCTTGCCCTGTCGGTGTTGTGTGGGCGGGGCATGTCCCTTCATCGGCAGCATTGAGTCAGACTTGGCCAGCGAGGTGGGAAGGTTAAGAGGGTGGTGGACACCTCAGTGCTTGGCTTGTGACTGTGAGCCATCTGGAGGGGACTGTGGTCTTCTGTGGGTCAGTCATGGCTGTGGTTTAGGCTTTCGTTTGCTCATTAATTCAGAAGACGTTGACCGGGCTCCTTCTCTGTGCCAGGCCTGGGTTTGACCTTGATGTGGGGCTGCAAGTGAGGCACTGGGAACTGGTGGACTTTTATGGAAGCACAAGGGACATCCTCCCATCCCTTTGTGCAAGTGGCAGGTCATCTGGAGTAGACCCTCAGCTTCAGGTTCTGGTTCTAACACTCACCAACTGGGTGGCCTTGAATCTCAAGTCATTTTTCTGGAATGAGAATAGTCATCCTTATTTCCCCAGGGTGCTGGCTGGATTTGGTGACATCCCCAGGGAGGTGCCTGGCACCCAGTAGAAACTCAGTGAGTGGGAAGTGTCTTCTGCAGGACCTGGGGCAGGCACTGGCTGGTCAGCCTAGATGGTGAGGGGCTCGGTGTGATGTTCCTGGGGTGTGGAGCCCCTGTGGGAAGTTCAACCCTGAGTGTCTTCAGGAGAACAGGGAGCTCCTGCCTGTTCAGAAACAGCAAAGCAGCAAGTCAGTGAGGAAAAAGGGTTATGGGTCAGGGTGTCCTGCCTCTTCTGTCTTTGCCGAGGGCTGGCCTCTCAGCCAGAGCCCCGTGGACATTAGCCCACTGATCCCCACTGCACCGTACACGCACTGCATTGGCCCATTTTATGATGAGCAAATGGACCCAGACATGGTCACTGAGGTGCCGAAGGGCACATGGATAGCCCAGAAGTCTTAATCCCTGGTCCTCCACTGTCCCCAGACTGGTGTGGGCGAATCCCTCCACCTCCTAGTTGCTCGCTGGGCCTCTGTCCCCTCATCTCTGAAGTGGGGGTTTTGGACACAACTAACTGTATGGTTGGGGCCACCACTTGCTGGATGCTGCTCTGCCTGGGGTGGGTGCCCCTTTTGCAGATCTCCAGAGGAAGGGGGCTGGCACCCTAGTCCTCCATGGGTGTTCTCAGCCCCTCTGGGAGGGCTGGGGAAGCTGCCTCCGCTTCTGACGGCACCCAGGCCTGGAGGCCCTCCCGAGCCCCACTGACCACAGGCTCTTGCAGATGAGGACGATGTGCACAGATGTGGCCGCTGCCAAGCGGAGTTCACTGCCTTGGAAGACTTTGTTCAGCACAAGCTCCAGAAAGTGTGCCAGCGGGCCCCCCAGGAGGCCCTGCCTGCCGCCCGTGCCGCTGGCGCGCTGCTGGCCCAGGAGGTGGGCGCCCCCCACCCCCCCCGCACGTACCTGTGCATGTGTGCGTTGCCCCCTGACGGCTGGAGGGGGTGGGTGCGGCGGGTTCCCTGTGGCTCGGGGGCTGGGCGGGAGGCCGGTGTCTGCTCATGCACGAGGGAGGGTCTGGGCCCGGCCCCCAAGAGCTTGGCGGTGCTCAGGGTGGTCCAGCCTTCTCAGTGGCCTCTGGCCGGGCCGTGCAGTTGAGGTCCCTCCTTTCTTGGAACCTCAGGGCCTGTCCTGGCTCAGGGCTTGTCTCCTGCCCTGTACACACAGTTCCTCTGGATTCCACAACGGTGGCTCTGGGGGTCCTGCCACCTTGTCATAAAAATGGCCAACTTTGTGGTGTTGCGCACATGCTTGGCTACACGCATGGTCTCATTAGGGCCCACAGTACCCTCTCAGGGTGGCATTCCCGTCATCCTCATTGTATGGAGGTGGGAAAGGAGATTCTGAGAGATGTCAGCTGCCTCAGGTCATCACAGAGTGGCCCAGAAGTCACAGGGCTCACAGCTGCCTCATTCTGACCCTGTGCCCTTGTCTGGCCTCTCCCAGTGGTGCCCTTTCCTCCAGGAAGACCCCCGGTCCCACATACCTGGGGCTCTTTCCCTTGATACCCTGGCTGGGGCTGGTGGGTGTGCCGACCTTCATCCTTGCACAGCCAGCTGAGCCGCAGGCCTGGGCCGCTGGCCACTTCCTTCTGGAGCCCTCCACATAGGTTCTTGGGGCTCTGCATTCAGCCCATGGTGGCCAGAGGCATTTGAGTGATGGGGCTGATCCCTTAGGCCTGGGATGGAGGGACCAGGCAGGAGTCAGGCTCAGAGCAGGGACAGGAGAGATGTTGCGGGGGGGGGGGGGGGGGATGAGAGGCCTCACCACAGCCTTCCTGCATGAACATAAACCCAAGCCTGTCCTCTCCAAGCCAAGGGAGCCCCGGAGCCCCGCAGATGAGTCCTCTCTGTCCCCTGGCAGGTGGTGCCAGCGGCGGCAGGCCCGGAGGAGCCCATCACTGTGGCCCATATCGTGGTGGAGGCAGCCGCTTTAACGGCAGACATCAGCCACGCATCTGACCTCGTCGGTAAGCCAGCACGGTCCCACCGTGGCTGTCCACGTGTGGCTCTCAGCACAGCTGTTGCTGACCTATCAGCTGTTAGTGGTCAGTACCAGAGGCTAGGGACCCTTGTTGCCCGTGTCTCTGCTCTCCTGAGAGCAAGGCCTGCCTGAGGAGGGCTAAGGCCCTCAGGGCTGAGCACCAGGCACCAGGCCCTGCCCTGCCAGGAAAGGGGAAGCATGCCGCTTGCACTCAGAGTCCTCACTTTGTGCGTAGTCAAGAGCTGGCTGTTTCCTCTGGTTGCTTCTGCAGTTTTTTCCCTGGTCCTTCTGCAATCTTCACTGTTTTTCTACCACCCCCGGTTCCTGCTCCTTACCCCACGGTCGGCTCTGATGGGTCAGGTTGGGGTATGCATGGGATGCACTTGCCACTCCAGCTCTGTCCTGACCTGCTGTCTGAGCTTGCTGTCCCCTCCCATGTGGGGGTGGCGACTCCTGCCCTGATTCTCACCTGGCTTTTATGAGCATACAGAGCCAAGTCAACCTCTTTGATGGCTCCTTTTAAGTCAAAGTGCTCTACTGATGTAGGGGAGGGGTGTCAACAGGTCTGGATTGGGAAGGGGGAACCTTCAAAGGGCCGCCAGCAGCTGGGTGTGTGCCCCGCAGGAGGGAGGCTGGGCGGGGCCTGCTGCCAAGTTGGGAAGGCCATGGTTGTTACCTGGCGGTCTGCTGGGCAGGAGTCTTGGCAGGTGCGAGAGTGGGCGGCCTGACAGGATACGGGCTTGGGCAACAGGTAGAACTTGGCCTTACGAAGTGCTGGGAACCAGCCGGGACAGGAAGAGAGATGGAGACCTCAGGGAGGGGAATGTCAGAGCAGGCCTTTCTGCCAAGGTCCCACCTCAGGGAGGTAGCAGGACACCTGTCCCCATCTCCATGCTGTCTGACATTCCTGTGGACGGGGACATTGGCCTGTGCCACTCCGGGACAGGAATGTTGTCATGGGGGAGGTGGGGCTGCGCTATGGCCCTGGCATGGAGTTTGGTTTCTGGGGTGAGTGGTGTCATACGGGAAAACAAGTTCCCTGGGCTCGGCCGGCACCCACAGGTTCCAGACCCCTGGCCAGCCAGGCCCCTTCCCAGCACCGCAGCCTCCAGCCGGCCCATACCTGCTGCTCAGCAGCTCCGCCCTGAGCTCCGGGAGCTCCTCTCCGGCACCTCCTGTCTCTCTTGCCCCTTTGGGTGCCCCAAATGTCCTCTTGGTGTTAGCTGCTTATTGGTCCAGGTTGGCTAGAGTTCTAAACTGCCAGTTGCTGGTATCCTAGGACTGGAGCATCTTATTTCTTGCCGGGCCAGGGGCCTCAGGGGGCGGGGGCTGTGTAGGGGGTACCCGTACCAGGCCCTCCTGCCTCTTCCCTGCAAACAGACTTGCATTTCATCTCTGGACTCAGGGCAGCCATGTTTCTCCTTCCTTGACCCCTCCGTCCGCTCTCTGTCACGCCACACTCTATCTCAAGTTCTTGCTTGGCAGAAGTCCCCGTCCTTTTGGAAGTTGGCTTCTGGGGCGGAGGAAAGATAGATCATCAGGCACGTCAGCCAAGGCAGAGGCTAGAGATGCCCTTAATTATTTCTGAGTCACGGTGCTTCCCTTGTTTGGGAGAATGGCTTGTCAAAACACTCTGCCCGTCTGATTGAGATGGTTCCTAAGAGGTGGCTTTACAACCGTTCCCCACACGTCATATTTAGGAGCAGAAATCGTGATGTGTATTTACAGCTTAGCTTTGCACGTTGTCAGATCTCTTCATCACACGTGAGAGGTGCTAAAGCCCGGCCTCCTTCCTCAGGCAGTCCCAGGTGTCTCGGGAGCACTCATTCATGCTCCCAGATGCGTCCCCAGCCTCCCTGCCTCGAGACACAGCAAGGGATCCCCAGAGGCAGCCGCCTTACCTGTCAGGGGAGCCGGTGCCGTGAGCAGGGCAGATGTCCACCCCCCATCTCCGTGCTGGCCCTCGCTTGTCCCTCGAGGTGGCAGGACCCCTGCCCACATCTAGTCCTGTGCTCCTTGGCTTAGGAGGGGGCACTGGTGCTCATGCTGGGTCTCCCCACTGGGAACGTTCTGGGGTCTTGGAGCTCCTCCGGGCAGCTTTGCAGACTCAGAGGAGGTACCTCCCCCTCGTGGAGCAGGTGCCAGGCACTGGGGCCGTAGGTGGTTGGGACAGCTCCGCTGCCCCCTCCCTGCCCCCCTTGCAGTGCTCCCCGCTAGGGATCCGAGGCGCGGCTGACCCCTCTCTCCTCAGGCGGCGGACACATCAAAGAGGTCATTGTGGCTGCTGAGGCAGAGCCGGGGGACGGCGAGATGGCAGAAGCCCCAGGCAGCCCCAGCCGTCAGGGCCCTGGGCTCAGTGGGGAGGGCGAGCAGGCTCAGGTCAAGCTGCTGGTCAACGAGCACGGCCGCTACGTGTGCGTGCTGTGCCACAAAACCTTCAAGACGGTGAGCCCTGGGGCCGCGCGCGGGCCGGCCCTGCGCGGGGGGCCGAGCGGCTGCTGGGGCCGGGCCTCCTCCCCCTCCTGCCCCGGGAGGCGCCTGAGCCCCACTCGTCCCCTCCCCCAGGGCAGCATCCTCAAGGCCCACATGGTCACCCACAGCAGCCGCAAGGACCACGAGTGCAAGCTGTGTGGGGCCTCCTTCCGGACCAAGGGTTCGCTCATCCGGCATCACCGGCGGCACACAGGTGAGCCAGGCGGGGACGGGGGCCGCCCAGCGTACTGCCACGGGCCCTGCTGGGGCCCCGGCCTCTGGCTGGCCGTGACGCTGTGGCTCCGGGCCTGCCTTCCCCGGGGCCTCAGGCTGCTGGCCCTGCCCGGGGCCGACTCTGTTCTCTCCACAGATGAGCGTCCCTACAAGTGTGCCAAGTGTGGGAAGAGCTTCCGGGAGTCGGGTGCGCTGACCCGACACCTGAAGTCTCTCACCCCGTGCACAGAAAAAATCCGCTTCAGCATGAGCAAGGATGTGGTTGTTGGCAAAGAAGACGCGCCTGCAGGTCAGCGAGGTGGGGGCTCCCTGCCCAGGCCCTGGCCCTGGCCTGGGGGCCACCCTGGTTGGGCGGGTTTCTTCAAGGATTCTCTTCGTTCTGCCTTAAAGGGTCTGGCACCTCCACTGTGGGGACGGTCCCATCTTCATCGGTGACGGGCGAACCTATGGAGACCTCACCCGTGATTCACCTGGTGACAGATGCCAAGGGCACTGTCATCCACGAAGTCCACGTCCAGATGCAAGAGCTTCCCCTGGGCATGAAAACCCTGGCCCCAGAGGTGCGGGCCGGCCGGGGGGAGTGGCCTCTGTCTGCCCAGTGCCAGGCTCTGTTCTGGTCACTGGCTCCAGTGGGAGTAGGACTGACCTGGTCCGCCTTCCTGGTGCTCAGTCTGGTGGCAGGGGAGGTGGGATGCCAGTGGCACGCCACGGGGTGGTGAGGGACGGGGAGCTGGGGGGGAGGGGGAGAGTGAGGGCGGGGAGAGTGGGCTATGGGGTTCCCCGAAGCATTCCTCTGGATGTGCACGGTGCCTCCCCAGGCCCCGTGGGGCCTGCCCTGTGCAGTGGGTACAAGTGGGTGCCGTGTGCCAGGCTGCCTGGCTAGCTTCCCTCCCTCTGCCTGCCCACAGCCCCTGGACCCCGAGGAGCTTCCCTGTTCCAGCGAGGGTGGCCGTGAGAACCTGCTACACCAAGCCATGCAGAACTCCGGCATTGTCCTTGAGCGTGTCACCGGCGAGGAGGGGGCCCTGGAGCCAGCCCCTCCTGCCGCACCCAGTCCCCAGACCCTGGGAGACGGTCCCCCAGAGCTGCCACTGCTGGAGGTGGAACCCGTGGAGACAGTAGGTGCCTGCGCTGCGGCGTGCTCCTTCGAGGGGGGCTGGACCTTGGCTACAAGGGCACCACCCCAGCCTGGCAGCCATCCTCCCTGCTGTGCTCCCTGTTTACTGCCTTCTCAGGGCTCACGATGGAGCTTGCGGGGTGGGGGGTGCCACGGGTCTGTTCTTGGGACTGCTGGGGTCCAGCCTGCAGTAGGTGCTGGAGGCGTGCTGTGCCCCTCCCCCCCCAGCAGGTGGCCAGTGGGGCCTCCGCTGTGCCCAGGACCCACCCGTGCCCTCAGTGCAGTGAGACCTTCCCGACAGTGGCCACCCTGGAGGCCCACAAAAGGGGCCATGCAGGTGGGTGGCGGGGGAGGGTGGGGGGTGGGGCACCGGGCAGCAGAAGGCCGGGATGGGCCTTGGGTGTGCGGTGGGCGGCTAGGTTGGTCCCTGGGTGGGCAGCAGGCAGGGGGCCCTCGAGGGGTGGACCCGGCCTGACCTCGTGTGCGGCCCCAGGGCCAAGGCCGTTCACATGCGTGCAGTGCGGCAAGGCCTTCCCCAAGGCCTACCTGCTCAAGAAGCATCAGGAGGTGCACGTGCACGAGCGCCGCTTCCGCTGTGGAGACTGCGGGAAGCTCTACAAGACCATTGCCCACGTCCGTGGCCATCGGCGTGTCCACTCCGATGAGCGGCCCTACCCGTGTCCCGAGTGTGGCAAGTGCTACAAGACCAAGGTGGGCCCTCAGGCCCTGGACCCTGCCATCTGACCCCCGCCCCCCAATCCACCGGCTCCCCTGCCCCAGGCCAGATCCACGCCATGTTCCCTGCCTCCCAGCCGCTGCCCTCCCCCAGCCCCTAGTCTCTCCTGACCACGAGGGCCTTCACCCCTCCTGCCTGGCCCCTGGGCCCTTTCCCTTGGCCCGCGGGGGGCAAGAGAGTGCGGGCTGAGCCGTGGCTGAGGCCAGGTGGACGCTGATGGTGGGGCCCCACAGAATGCCCAGCAGGTGCACTTCCGGACACACCTGGAGGAGAAGCCGCACGTGTGCCCGTTTTGCAGCCGAGGCTTCCGGGAGAAGGGCTCCCTGGTGCGGCACGTGCGGCACCACACGGGTGAGAAGCCCTTCAAGTGTTACAGGTGCGGCCGCGGCTTCGCGGAGCACGGCACGCTCAACCGGCACCTGCGCACCAAAGGTCAGGGCCACGGGCAGCCGGGGAGGGGGGTGGTGGAGGGCCGGGAAGTCGCCCCGCTGATTGAGCCCCGCCCACAGGGGGCTGCCTGCTGGAGGTGGAGGAGTTGCTGGTGTCCGAGGAGAGTCCTGCGGCAGCCGCCACCGTACTCACCGAGGACCCGCACACCGTGCTGGTGGAGTTCTCGTCCGTCGTGGCCGACACCCAGGAGTACATCATCGAGGTGGGTGCGGGGCCGCTGGGGCGGGGCGGGCCTCGGAGCGGCCAGGCTGACCTCTGACCCCCGCCCAGGCCACTGCGGATGACGCGGAGACTAGCGAAGCCGCAGAGATCATTGAGGGCCCCCAGACGGAGGTGAGGGGCTGGAGGAGGGCTGGGGGGCGGAGGGGCGGCCTGGTGCCCTCCCCGCAGCTGCCGGCTGAGCCGCGAGCCGCCCACAGGTGGACAGCCGCATCATGAAGGTGGTGCAGCAGATCGTGCACCAGGCCGGCGCCGGGCACCAGATCATCGTGCAGAACGTGACCGTGGACCAGGACGCGGGGCTGGGCCCAGAGGCGGCCTCGGCCGACACCATCACCATCGCTACGCCAGAGAGCCTGACAGAGCAGGTGGCCATGACGCTGGCCTCGGCCATCAGCGAGGGCACCGTACTCACGGCCCGTGCGGGCGCAAACGGCGCCGAGCAGGCCACTGTGACCATGGTTTCATCGGAGGACATTGAAATCCTGGAGCACGCAGGCGAGCTGGTCATCGCCTCACCGGAGGGCCAGCTCGAGGTGCAGACGGTCATCGTCTAGCCTGGCTGCCCGCAGGCTCCCGGGGCAGGGCTGGGCAGGGGCGAGGACCCACAGAAGAGGGAACACAGAATGCAGGTGTTCAGAGGGGGTGTGCGAGTGTAAATAGTTTTTTGTTGCTTTACAATAAAACATGAAAACCCACTACTTGTGATGCCACTGCCCCGGCAGGTTCCCCTGTGGCGGCCCCCTGCCTGCCCGCCCGCCCCCCGCACCGCCTCCTGCCCAGGGGCCCCCCAGCCCCTGCCCGGCTCCCTTGCAGACTCGTGCGCCTCCCGCTCAGGCTGGCGGCACCGTGGCGGTGTGTGGGCGTCCCTGGCATGTGGACAGGCAGCTTGCTGCTGCCGCCCTGCCCTGCCAGTTGGAGTCGTGACCCCAGCTTCCCCAGCCCCACGGAGGCGGGTGGGAGGGGGCGCTGCTTCACGGCCTCCAACCCTGGGGCTGTCCGGGGAGGGGGGAGGGGGGAGGGCAGGGCACCCAGGCTGGGAGGGGACAACGGAGCAGCAGCGGGAGAGCTGCCGGGAAGATCTTTACTGAATGCACAGCCTGCCTTTTCTCAGGGGGCACCCCTGACGGAGGGAGATTCTGGATGACCTAGTTTGGGAGGGTGGGGGTGTGAGGACAAGAACAAGGCCGGACCTTGGGTGGCTGACCCTTTCGTCCAGTCCTGACACAGTTTTGGGGGGGCTGGCAGGGTCATAGGAGCCCTGGTTTTGATGGTCTTGGTGCGGGAGCAAGCTCAGGGTGGATGCCCCTGCCACCTTGCCCCCAGGGCTCTCCCTGGGAACCGGAACCAGCAGTTCCAGCGTCCATCTCCGCAGAGGGGGTGGGGCCGGAGCAGTCCAGCCCCTCCCTGGACAAGGGCCTCAAATACCCTCCTGGGCCCTGGCGCCACAGCTGCTGTGGCCAAACTCGGGGAGCCGGTCTTGTGCCACAGACACACCCCCAGCCTGGATCTCCAACCTCAGTCCTGAGCCTCAGATACCGCCCCATCCACATCCCAGGTGAGTCCGGGGACTGGGCTGACCAGGGGCCTGGATGGGGATGGGGTCCCTCTATTTGGGCCTCAGTTTCCCCAAGGAGTAGAATGGCCACGGTAAGCCTAGTGCACCATTGGGGAGACGAGGAGACACAGGGAAGGATGCGCCTTGGACCTCCCAATCAAAGGTCCCTGCCCGGCCCCTGGGGCTGGGACGGAGAGGGGTGGCTCGCTGTGTCTGACGCCAGGTCCGCGCTCAGGAGCGTGTCTGTCATTCCCAGCCCGCCCGCTCTGCGCCATGGGTGGGCCCCGGGTCCTGCTGGCCGCGCTATGGGTCCTGGGGGCCGCCGGAGCCGCGGCGCTGCGCATCGGCGCCTTCAACATCCAGAGCTTTGGCGACAGTAAAGTGTTGGACCCGGCCTGCGGCGGCGTCATTGCGCAAGTAAGGCCGGGGACCGGGGGCGGGGCCGCAGCTGGGCTTCCCGGGTGAATCCGCCGCGCGCGTGACCCCGCACCTGCCGGCCCCTCCCCCAGATCTTGGCTGGCTATGACATCTCGCTGGTGCAGGAGGTTCGAGACCCGGACCTGAGCGCCGTGTCCGCGCTCATGGAGCAGATCAACAGGTGCGGGGAGGGGGCGTGGGACAGGGCCCAGCGTTCGGAATCCAGGCCCGGATCGCGGGGCTTGGTCCCGTGCCTTGACCCCGGGCCTGGCCGGTGTCTCCGCAGCTTGTCCAGGCACGAGTACAGCTTCGTGAGCAGCGAGCCCCTGGGTCGGGACCAGTACAAGGAAATGTACCTGTTCGTCTATAGGTGAGGGGCGGGGCCGCGGGGCTCGGGCGCGCGGGGCGGGATGGGGCCTGCTCAGCGCGCCCGCCCGCTTCCTTCCCTCAGGAAGGACGCGGTGTCGGTCGTGGACACGTACCAGTACCCGGACCCGGAGGACGCTTTCAGCCGTGAACCTTTCGTGGTCAAGTTCTCGGCCCCCCGCTCGGGTGAGGCACCCCCCCTCCCGCGGGCCCCACCCCCTCGCCCCCGCCGCCCCCGGCCCCGCCTCTGACCCGCGCCTCCCGCAGCTGCCGGGGAGTTCGTGCTCATCCCGCTGCACGCGGCGCCGCACCAGGCCGTGGCGGAGATCGACGCTCTCTACGACGTGTACCTGGACGTGATCGACAAGTGGGGCACGGACGTAAGCCCCGCCCCCGCCCCGGGGACCTGTGCGCTCGTGCCGGGGGGGGGGGGGCTTCGCGCGGTGCTCGCGCATGCGGGGTGTGGTGTGTGTGTGTGTGTGTGTGTGTGTGTGTGTGGTGCGCGCGGGCTCAGCCCCGGCTCCGCGGCCCCCGCAGGACTTGCTGTTCCTGGGCGACTTCAACGCCGACTGCAACTACGTGCGGGAGCGCGACTGGCCGTCCGTCCGCCTGCGCAGCAGCGAGGTCTTCAAGTGGCTCATCCCCGACAGCGCCGACACCACCGTGGGCAACTCGGACTGCGCCTACGACCGCATCGTGGCGTGCGGCGCCCACCTGCGCAGGAACCTCAAGCCCCAGTCTGCCGCCGTGCACAACTTCCAGGAGGAGTTCGGCCTGGACCAGGCTCAGGCGAGTGCGCGAGCGCGGGGCAGGGCGCCCCGCTTCTGAACACAGCGCCCTTAGCGGCTCGGTTCTGGCTGAAAGGATCGTCTGGGATGGCAGAAGATGCCCTTGGTCTCTTCTCGCGTGGGGTCTCCAGTCCGGGCCCCAGCCCACCTGCAGGCTGCACGGTGGGCTCCATCCCTGGCCGGCGTGGGGGTGCAGGGGTGGGGGGGTGGTTGTTTTCCCAGGTGGGGCCCGAGGGAGTACAGGCTGCCCAGCGGGCCGCTCAGGCTCCACCTCCTCTCCCTCCAGGCCCTCGCCATCAGCGACCATTTTCCTGTGGAGGTGACCCTGAAGTCGCACTGAAAACCCTCATGGCCAGGAGAACAGCCCTACAGGGTTCCTTCTGGGGGGCTGGCTAGCCCCCAGCAAGCCGCAGGGCAGGGTCGGCTGGACAAGCGGCTACAAAACATCACAGGACCACCCAGTCTGTTTGCCCATCTGTGAAATGGGCTACTCTACCTACCTCATAGGGTTGTGAGGAGCAGCCTGCAGAGCGCTGGGCACACGGCTGCACTCAATAAACACGAGCGAGCGCTCAGCCAGGACCACGCTGGTCGGCTTCAAGGCCTCTGTGTCCTTTCTTAGGACTCAACCCGTCTGAGGCCCAAACTTTGGTCCTGCAGCCCAGTGGGTCCCGGGTCCCCACCCCCTAGGGGACAGGGATGGCCCGGCCTGCCCATTCACTCCCTGCTCAGGACGGATGCCCTCCAGACCAGGCTGGCTCCAGAACGCTGCTCCCATGCTTGCTAGGGGAAGCTTGTCTCTTTCTTTATGCAAACTATACATGCTTCCAAGAACCCGTGCTGAGTGCAGTTGGGGTAAACACACCTTCGGTGTTGACACGCAAGGCCAACCTCCTGGTCCCTGATGTCCCTCCTGCCCCCCGATTCTTGGGTCCTGCAGACCTCGCAGACACTTGTGTGTATGAGGGGTCCTGTCCTGCCCAGCAATGCAGGGGGCAGGCAGTCTGGAGCGCCCCCCCCGTCCGTGGGCCACCTTGGGACATCTGGGGAGCCCTTCAGTGGTGAGCAGGCTGGACTCCTCACACAGCCCAGGCAGGTGGGACCCACACACCCCATGTACATACATAGCTCCTTCCATGGGGCCACCCTGGGTCGGCTCCTTCTCAGGAGCCCTGGGCTGGGCAGGGGCTTGTCAGGGAGAACTGCAGCCTGTGTCTCGGGGAAGCCTGTCACCCGAGGACTGGGAATGTGCAGAACTGGGGTATAGGGGCCCAGTAAGGTTTCTGGTTTTGGAAACAACTCCACTTGGGTCTGGGAAGTGGCCTGAACCGTATGGAGGAAAAACCTTTGTTTCAAGAGTCTGGACGAGTTTTCTGGTGTAATCTTTCCAAAGTAAGACCAGGGCTCCTGCAGCACAGACCCACCAGTACTGCCTCCTGCGCCCCTTGCCAAGCCCCCGCCCCAGTCTCTGGACCATTGCGCTCCCTCTGTCTCAGTGGGCGGATGTGGTGGCCAAAGAGCTTTCCTCTGGGGGGGTCCTGTGTGGGTCACTGGCCCCCAGCAGTCAGGCAGCTGGGTAGCTAGGGATGGGACCACACCAGGACTTTGTTCCCACTTCTGCTCTGGCAAAGGGGACGCTCAGCGGCGGCTCTCACTGAGGTCCAGTACGGCCTGGCCCACCTGCCAGCCGAAGAGGTGCTCATGGGGGTCGGTGGGCCCTTGGGACACTGGCTCCAGGGAACAGGGCTTTCTAAGGAGATCAGCAAAATGAAGAGCTACAAGTACTTTTACACTGGAAAATAGCTTGTTTAAAACCCCTCGGAATCAGAGGGCCCCCGGAGGGGTGCATCCGGCTCCAAGCCCCATGGAGGTGGCCCAGTCCTTAGCCTTTCTTCTGTTTGAGCTTTTCTAAGTATGCATGCAGAGACTTCTGGATGGAGTCTTTGCAGATGAAGCGGACAAAGTTCTGGATGTCCGCGTCGCGCTCTGTGAGCAGGCGGTCAGCTGTGGGCTTGCGCATCAGGGTCTTGGTCAGCTGTCGGGCGTGGTCTACAGAAAAGGGCCCGAGTGTGAAAACCCATTCCGACACCGTGGCATCACTCCCAACCTTTCCAAGAGAGTTCCAGCAGAAACTCTGGTAGGAAACTTAGGACATACAAGTAAACAAGCAAAATGAAAACCAGCCCTTCCCCGCTGCCTACCCAGAAGCAGAGAGGGTGACACTGTGAAAACTGCCTATTACCCTGTCCCTCTCATTCCCCAATATTACGGGGGGTACTTTCCACATCACTAAGTACTCGTTCACAGCACAGTTAGGTCAGCGAACCTGGCCCCCCCATGGCCTAGGAGCTAAGAATGGTTTTTACACTGTCATGGAGTTGAAAAAAGGACGTTCTGTGACCCGTGAAAATTATATGCAATTTAAGTATCAGCACCGACACGCTCACTGGGTCACAAACTCTCTGGCTGCCCTTGTGCTCCAGCACCACCGTGTGGCTGAGACCAAGTGACCCACAAGGCCGACCATCTCCCTGGCTCTTGAGAGACAGTCTGCTGATCGCTGGTCTCCCATCAGAACCAGCCCAATTTCTATAAACAGACAATAGTCTGTGCAGTGGGTTGGGAGTGGACCTAATCACAGCCCTAGAATCTGTGCATGTGGCCTTATTTGGAAAAGGGTTTCTGCGGATGAAGTTAGGATGAGATCATCTTGGATTTAGGGTGGGCCCCAAATCCAACAACGAGTGCCCTGACCAGAGAAAGGAAGAGGGGAACCTGGAGACACAGACACGCAGGGAGGCCACGTGGAGGGAAAGCAGACTGGCGCGATGCATCTACAGGCCAAGGAGCGTCTGGAGCCGCCAGAGGCTGGATGAGGCAGGAAGGAACCTCCCCTAGAGCCTCTGGGGAGAGCACGGCTCTGCCCAAACCTTGATTTTGGACTCCTGGCCTGCAGACTTGGAGAGAATGCATTTTTGTGGTTTTAAGGACCATACCTCCCCCTCCCCCCGCCATGTGGTAATTTGTTGCAGTGGCCCCAGGACTAAGTCAGTCTGCTGTTACAAACGGCACATTCCTGATGTGCACACAGCCCCCTCCCAGGAGAACCCCGTGCTCTCACCAGGAGCATCAGGCTGTGGGGGGTCCTGGCTGCCGGTCCTGGCCCCTCCCCATGCTCCTCACCTGGAATGTCCAGCCACTGGGCCATCACCGACCGCGCCGTGCTCTGCACCTGGTCTTCGGGCACAACCTGGTCCACCACGCCCACCCGGAGGGCCTCTGCCGGCGGGAAGAGCAAGCCCAGCTGCAGGGCGCGCTCCGCGCTGCGGTGCCCGATTGTGTTCACCAGCGTGTCTTTGAACCTGGAACACATGCACTTGTTGGGGGCTCCCAGGTGGACGGGCTTGGGCCAGGGCGAGGTGAGTGGGGGTGCAGCCCCGAGCCTTACCAGAAGGGGGCGACAATGCCCAGCAGGGTCTCGTTCAGCCCTATGGCGTACTTGGGGTTGTTCGCCAGGACCCGGTAGTCACAGGTGAGGGACAACAGGCAGCCTCCGGCTGGGCTGATGCCCTGCAGGGGAAGAGACAGCACATGGCTTTGCGTGCTGCCGTGGGCGGGCTGGGGGGGCGGTTCCTGACTGTATTCCAGACAGCCAGGTCCCAAGGAAGAGCGCCCCCTCCCTGTCCCCATGGTGCTGCACCCACACTGGCTGGGCTGGGTGTGCACAATGGGGACTCGGGCTTGGCTCTGCCCGGAACCCTTCTGACGGGGTCGCAAGCCGCCTTTCTTTTCAGTTTTTGCCGGGATGCTAAAACGCTAAGTAGTTAGCCGAAGTGCCCCCCAGGACCCATCTGCATCCCCAGCAGGACGTCCCAGGAACCCCAGACTCACACTGCCCTCACCTCATACACCCCACGGCCTCAGAGGCGGCCTGTGGAGTCTCCCTGACTCTCGCCAGCCTCCTGTCTCCTGGTTCAGACCCTCTGGCACCTCACTGGGGGGCCCCCGCCATGTTGTCAGGCACACGGCTTCCTGAGCCTTAGCAGACCCTGCCTCCCCAGGCCAGGCCAAAGCAAGGTTTCCAGGGGTGAATCTGACCCCCTCCTTGTGCCCCCTCCCCATGCAGCCCTCTTCCTGGGCCCTGCCCCCACCCTTGTCACCTGGTCATACTGACCTCTGCACCTCTGAGGGCCTCCCCCACCCTTCCCGAGGGCAGGGCCCTGTCTGCCCCCGCCCTCCCCCCCCCCCCCCCCCCCCCCCCGCAGTGAGCCAGCGGGGCTGGGCTGAGGCGCGGGGGCACTCACGTTGATAGCAGCAATCACCACCAGGCTGGACAGGTAGAACCGAAGCCACATTTCCTGCACCGCCTTCCAGTACTCCGCGTAGTGCTCGGGGTCCCTCCCACACATCTCCGTCAGGTCCAGGCCGGCGGAGAAGATCCCGGGGCAGTCCTGGGGGGCGAAGGAGCCAGGTGCCCTGTCAGAGTCCGTCCCTGGCCAGCCAGAGGTCCCGGGGGATGCTCCAGAGGCGATGGGGAGCCGGAGCTGGGGCTTCGGGGCACACGTTCTGCTCTCGCCCCAAGGTCAAGCCAGCTGCAGACGGCCAGGCCAGGCCAGGAGGTGCTGCTGTCAGAACACAGCAAGGCAAGGAGGGGGCCGCGATGAGCCGAGAAGCCAGACCCCTGCCCTGGGGAGTGGCTGAGAAGGCGTGTGTCCTGCAGATGCCCCAGGTCGTGACACAGCCACCAGAGGGGAGAGGAAAGCAAACACAGGCAAGCAGCGACAGCTGGGACAGAGGATGGCTTTCCAGCCAAGAACTGCTGGCCCAGACGGCAGACCGGGGTGGGGGTGGGGGGGCAGTAGAGTGACCGAGTGGCCGTCATGGGAAAAGCCTACACGTGGGGCTCCTGAGTGGTGTCACGATGTCCCTAAGCAAACGAGAATGAGACTCCCGTGGCCGGAGCATGCCCGGGGCTGGGATGCTGGGGGCTGGCATGCCCTGTTACCCACGAACCAGGGTCAACAGCCGCATATCTCTGCGCAGTGAGGGGACGTGTGGAGTATGGGTGACGTCCCCACATCCTTCTATCAAACGACAGGAGCAGGTTGCGTGCAGGGTGCAGGACGCGGTTCCTCGGGGCCCCCCGTGTAGCTGCGCGTGCGCCACCCCTGGAGGCTGACCTCTCGTGTCCCCGCCCGTGTCCCACCGCGGCCTCGGAAGGCCACACAGGTGCGGCTGCCTCTCATGGACGCCCCTGAGCTGCGGCAGGGATGGCCGAGCTCCTCCTGCTCTGAGCATATCCAGCATTTCTGCCTTTTTCCTGATCCTTCCCCGCCCGCTGGGGACCCCTCCCCCTGCACCCCACCCCCAGCCTGTCCGCACAGAGGCTTGCCCACAGTCCTAGCGCTTGAGGAAAGCAAAGGCAAAGAACGCTGTGACAGAAGCCGCTGTCATCCTAGCGGGGGAAGTGCTCCGCACCGACTAGAAAGAGGGAAATTTCTGCGATTCAGCAACAGGTCTGGAGGGAGCCAAGCAGTGTCTTGGAAAAAGACACAGACCCGCCTTTACCCCTCCCCCCCGCCGGAACCTACGAATGTGACTGTCTTTGGAAACAGGGTCTTTGCCGATGTAATCAACAGGAGATCACAGGAGAGCAGGGCCTCCTTCTAAGGAGGGGGACATTTGGACACACAGACACGGGGTGGAAGAGGCGGGAGTAGAGGAGGGCCAGGACCCTCCGGAGTGGAGGAAGCAAAGAGGGAGCTCCAGGAGAGAATGCCCCGCTGGTGCTGTGAGCCCTGTTTGTGGCCCTGTGCTGTGTCCCCACATCACCCCAACGTCACGCCGCCCACCGTCATCTGCTGCGGGCCCGCTGGGCAGGCCTCTCTGCTCTGGACACGGCAGGCACTCAGCCAAGACCACAGTGCAGGCCCGTTTATGGGGAGATGACGCAGACCCGGGGAGAATGTGGGCTTCCGAGGGACGGAGGCTGACGGCGCCACTCGCAAGCCAGGGAGGCAGAGGGGCCTTTTCTTCGTTGCTGAGGGATGGAAGTTCATCCTTGCGGCTCTCTTGGTTTCAGCGCACAAGAGAGAAAAGGTCACGCTCCAAAACAACATCCTAAATGGAGCATTTTCAGAAATTATCTGGAGCACAAAGTTCCCAGGCAGTTGCAACCCGTCCAGCCAGGTCAGCGGTAACTGTCACAAGCACCCACACCCAGGAGCATCCTACCCTCGGAGCTGCACCGAAGAACCCTCTCCACAGGGCGAGGTTCTGCTCTGCAAAGCCCAGCCCCCCAGCACCCACTGGCCGTGTGCATCGGGCCCGCCCGACAGCCCCACACAGCTCAGAGCTGTGACAACACTGGGCCACACCCAGGACGACCCAAGGGTTTAAGGAAAGCAGGTGCATGCCCAGTGGGTGTTCCGAACCTTGTCTGCAAGAAGCTGGGACCATCTGCCTTTGATAATGGCAGAACTGAGACCTTCTCACTGGTCTCTGTAATATGGAGGCACGTCTATCGGGGGACACGCATGTGACAGGCAGACGGCGCCGGAGTTTGGACTTTGAACTCGGGGAGCTAACGAGTACCCACCGACGTGATGATGATGCCATGGAAGGTCTTGTCGTTCTCCAGTTTCTCCAGGCTGATGAGTAGCTCGGTCAGAAACTCTAGGCTGAGGCTATTCACTGGGGGGTTCCTCATCTTCACCACAGCGACCCCTAGTGCGAACAAGAAGAGGGGAGGGCTCACAGCCAGTCCGGGGAAAGCACACCCAGCCAGCCTGCACCCTCAGCCCGGCCACGGCCAGCGACACGGTTCTTGTGTTTTCAGAGCAGGTGAGACCCTGGCTGGACGTAAATTCACCATTTAAAAGTGGACAGTTCGGGACTGTTAGGTACCCACAGTGTCGCACAACCACCATGATCTAGTTGCAGAGCATGTCTATCCAAAAGAGGGCCCTGTGCCCATCAGCAGTCACCACCCCTCTCCGGCCCCTGGCAAGCGATCGTCTACTTTCCATCTCTATGGACTTGTCTACGCTGGACATTTCACATGAAAGGAAGCATCCAATCTGCGACCTTTCCTGTGGCTTCTTTCACCGAGCCCCGTGTTCTCAAGGCTGAGCCGAGCTGCAGTGTGGGGACCACGTTCTGTGCACCCATGCACGTGCTGGGGGACACCTGGGTTGGTTCCACCTTTTGGCTCTTGTGAATCACGCTGCTGTGAACATTTGTGCACAAAGTTTTGTTGATCTTTTTCTCCCAGATGCAAGTGCTCCGTCCCCAGGGGATGAGGAAATGGCCTCCGTTTCTTGAGGAGTGAGTGAGCAAACTCTAAGACCAGATGTGCAAGGAGGAACTCCCTTTGGGTGCTCTGGTTCACGCTTGTTTAAGGACAGAGGCTACAAACATCGGCGGCCTGAGGTTCTCCAACTCTCCCTGGTGTGCTCATGAGTCCTGCCAGCGCCCGGGGCAGGGCGGCTGGGGCCACGGGTGCTCACTGCCTGCCTGAGGACAGACCCCAAGGGCTGCAGAAATGCCTCCGTTCACATTTCTCTGGTCAGGACCTTACAAATCTCCGGATGGTCAACACAATTCTCTAGGGGTGACAACTAAGTCCTGAAGGCAAATGGGCTCTTTGGAGACCTCTGATTTCCAAGAAAGAAGTACTTATTAACTGGCTAGCGGCAGTTTGTGTGCACAACAAACGTTTTCCAGAAGCAAGCTTCTGAAGTTGGTTCAGACTCAAGTTTCTGAGGCTGACTGGATTTTTTTTTTTGAGAGTGTGCAGGAGTGTGCGTGGGTGGGGAGCTGGGGGGGCGAGGAGGTGTAGGGATTCAAGCACCCAGAGAGGCAAAATCTGACTTGTCTGTGCCTCCCTGGATGAGACTAACTGAAAAGCAGAGGAGTGCCTGGAACGCTGGGCCTCCTTCGAAGTTTCCTGGCTGAACGCGGGCGGATTCTTACTGTGGCTCAAGGTTCTCATCCAGGGAGTCAGGGTTTCAAACACAGGCACCTGCAGTGATCACATACTGCACGAACTCCTTGCCGTGCACGGCCGTCCCGAGCCCCACGGCTCCTGTCACGTGCTGCCCCACAGATGACCGTCCTGATTGTTAAAACTACGCCTTCCTTCTTGTTTTGCTCTTGCACGTGGTGTATCGATAAAACACAGTAACAGTGGAGACACAGCTTGGCCCGAGTCCTTTCACCACTACAGCGTCTGGCCCCTTGCCCTCTGCTTTCTCCTGCTTTGGTATCTGGAGTCATCTTTTCATTCGCCATCTCAGGGTTTGCTGGACAAGCCCGACAGGGAGGGGCAGCGGGAGAGACTCCATGCCCAGCAGGGAGCCCAGCGTGGAGCCTGAGTCAGGGCTCGATCCCAGGACTCTGAGATCACGACTGGTGCTGAAATCAAGGAGTTGGGCGCTTAACCTGCGAGGGACCAGGCATCCCGAGGCTGACTGGATTTTTACAGGCCTGGTCCAGCAGAATCGAGGGCACTGAGGGAAAGGTCAGTAGGCCAAAGATGAACATAAGTTAAGGAAGAGGACTTTGGGTGACCCTGATGTCACAGGGGAAACAGCCCCATCCCTGACCGGGGGCAGGTTGACTCAGCTGTCTGGGGCAGGGAGGGAGGCTGAGGCTGCAACCTGGCGTCCCACACACAGCAGGAGGCCTCTGTCAAAAGGCTGAGGCCTAAAGCTAGGCCACCAGACAGCATGCCCTAAAACCTGGACGCCAGCCCATCTCTGATGACAAGCCTTCTCATGCCTCAGCTCGGGAGCTCTCTCAGGTAGAGGAAACATAGGTTTCTGTTTTGACAGTTCTTTTTCCACCTTTTCTGTCCCCTTTGCAGAGTTTTAAGAGCTGCTCTGATGGGAACTGGGGGGAGGGGGGGTGCTAGCAATGATCACACTGTGGCTCCTGGCTTTAATTAGTAAAATATCTTCTAAGTTCTGTGCCATGCTGGAGTATTAAAAAAAGGAAAAGAAAAAAAAAATTTATTCCAAAATACTTCCAAGTATTTTCAACTTCCTTTTTTTTTTTCTTCTTAGATTTTATTTACTTGATACACAGAGAGAGTGCACAAGCTGGGGGCAGAGGGAGAGGGAGAAGCAGACTCCTGGCTGAGCAGGGAGCCCGATGTGGGGCTGGATCCCAGGACGCTGGGATCATGACCTGAGCTGAAGGCAGACGCTTAACTGACTGAGCCCCCCAGGCGCCCTTCAGCTTCCAATAGTTTAGATAAAGGGGCATACCCCTCAAACTTTACAAACCCAAACCTTTGAACCTTCACAATGAATTGGGGTAGGGGCGCCTGCGGGGCTCAATCGGTTGAGCGTAGGACTCTTGGTTTCGCTCAGGTCATGGTCTGGAAGTCGTGGGATCCAGCTCTGCGGGGAGTCGGCTTGGGACTCTCTCCCCCTCTGCCCACCCCCCACCCCCCACCCCCGCCCATGCGCACGCTCTCTCAAACGAATGGATAAAAACTGGGTTAAAACCGCACTTAAATCACCTGGACTGAGGACCCTTAAGCTTTGAATCCAACAGGTATGGTCTTCAATACCGGGCTTTGCCTGTGGGCGTCCAGAGGCTCCCGGGAGCCGGAGACGAGAGTCCGGGCACTGCGCGGCACCGCGAGACCGCGCCCTCCCCAACCTGCACGGCTGCACGGCGGGAAACCGCGGGAGGCTGCCCAGCGCTGGTCCGGGCCTGCGGCCCCGGGCGCGCTTACCTGCCGCCGGGTCCGGCTCCACCAGCACCCGCGGGCTCCTGAAGCACCGCACGCCGTCCCCGCCGCCGGCCGGCGGCCCTGTCCGCCCGGGGGCCGCGCGGAGGCCCCGGGCCCCTGCGAACGACAGCACGAGGCCTGTTAGCCTCGCCCACCCGCCGGCCGCGGCCCCCGAACCCACCCCGCCCCGCGAGTCACGCACAGGGTCGAAGAAGGGCACGCGTCAGGACGCGCATTCCCACCGCCAGCGCCATCTTGACGCCCCGGTCAGGGTCGCGGCCGGCCCAGGCCCAGGCCCCGCCCCGCGGCCCGCTCCTCCCAGAGGCCCTGCTCCGGCAGCCCCGCCCCACTTGGCTCGCAGGGTGTCAAGGCCGCGGGGCACGGCTGAGGCCAAGGTCGCGTGTGGGCCGCTGCACGGGGCAGGCGCTTCCCCACCGCCTCGCCAGCGAACCCCGTGCGCCGCCCGCAGGCGGCGGCGCGATGGCAAGTTAGCCCGCTTCCCCTGCCGTCCACCGGCCAAAGCTAAGCTCGAGTCACTCGGGCAGGGCTGCTGAGGCCAGGGCTGGCTGCACCGAATCCCAGAGGGTTGCGAGTTCAGGCGGTGACAAGGGACTGGGGTGGAAGCTCCCGCTACCCTGGCATGTGAGCAGCAAAGGCAACCAGATGTCAGCAGGGCTGTCTCCCCAACTGCACCCGCAGAGGCTGCAGTATTAAGATGGGGGGCTACCGGCTGCCTCCCGTGTGAGCTCCGCCTCGGCCGCGGGCGCGGAGGAGCACCGGAATCAAGCGGGTAGTTGAGGCAGGCATGGCGCTAAGAGCAGCCCATGCACCTTCCCCTTCCGCAGCTGGGCAGCAGGTGCCCACACTCCTGGCAGGAGCCCCTCCAGGCAGCAGGATGAGCTGGGGGGAGCAGGAAGCCTGTGTGCTACCTGCCAGGACGCTGCCTGGTGCTGACCGTCCAGTCCACACAGTGAGTGGCTGAGACTTTAGTTTTTAACGTCTGATGTGTTTCCACATCTTCCTTCAACACAAAAGCATGGCTGAGTGGCAGAACAGCCTCGGCTGCCCAACAGGCAGCACACGGGTGGTAAAATCTTCTCTTCTACGTCTCCAGCAGCGGCAAGCCGGCGCTCCGCGGAGCCGGCTGGCAGCTCTCCTGGCTCAGAGACTCTGGAAAGGAACTAGAATGCAGTCCTGTGTTTTTAATTCCCTTACAGTTTGTGGCCAAGGACAGGAAAGAGGCAGTGAAGCCAGTACTCACTGTATTCTAATCCTGTTTATTCAACACAATCCCTTCACTCTACACAACAAAGTACAAACACAACGGCGCCTAAAATGCTACAAGTTACAAAACTCAAAACAACAAATTTATAGTACTGACTGTACAATAAAAGCCAAGAGAAGCAATGTACATGTTGCCCAGGTAACCTGCAAGAGCACCCTGAGCAGCAGCTGCAGCAGGGGGTGGTCCATGATGACCCTGCAGAGCTGGCTCTCGTTATGCCCACCAATTTCAGAGGAAGGGAGACATGGGGTATGTGCGTGCGTGAGTACAAGTAGAAACAGAACCATTTCCCGGAACTAACAGGGGCCGTTTGACCGCAGGTGCTGGAAGAGGAGCCGATCAGGGGAGCAGGGCCAAGGCGAGCAGGAACGGCAGCTGCACCCAGGTGCACCCTTTCCTGAGGGACCCTGCAGACCAACAAGCGATGGCAGGACCGGGACCCCCGACCGGCCCCCAGTCATTTGTGGAAATGAAACAGGTACACCACCCCCAGGCTGGGGCCACACTACCACCTGGAGCCCTGCTTTGTCCCTGCTGGCTTTGCCACTGGATGGACTCTCTTAGGAACTGGAAATATGGGAGCTTTCTAGCCAGAAACCTGGAGGGCATGCTTACAGGCACAACCCCAAACCATGAACACTGCTCTGGAACTCTGCCTTCAGAGGAAACGTCTCAGTTGCTGTCCTCGAAGCCTGCCCTGAGTGAGGAATTTCCAACCAACCCTCCTTTGGCTAGAAAAGTGACAAAGCTGAAGTGGATGGGATCGAAGTCACAGGGCGCAGAGCTCCGGGGGCCCTGCTTATCGGGAGGAGTTGGAGCTGGAACGGCTCCTGTGGCGGCGGCGGCCAGGGGAGCGAGACCGCCGGCGCACGGGGGACCTGCGCCTCGGGGAGCGTGACCTGCGGGAAGAGAAAAGACCACATCGCACATGGAGGCCGACATCCCAGACACCGCTCCGCGTCACGGACGGCAGGGGCAAAGCTGGCTTCTTGAAGGAACAATGCTGTACAGTTTCAGTCAGTGCTTTCAGTCAGGATGGCTCCGGGGATGGCACCGACACGGAGCCCTTGGGAAGGAAAAGGGGATCTGTTGGGGAGACCCCCTTTCCTGAGGGCTATGGAAAGGGCAGCTCAACACCACTAGCAGAGGAGGGCCAGGCTCTGGCCTCTGCCAAGGGACTCGGACTCAGCCTCCTCTCCTGACCCTTCCTGTGTGTGTGTGTATGTGTGTTTTAATATTTATTTAAGTAATCTCTATACCCAATGTGGGGCTCAAACCCACAACCCTGAAATCAAGAGTCCCACGCTCCTCCCACTGAGCCAACCACGCACCCTACCCTTCCTGTCTTCTTAGCTGGGAAGGGGAAAGGGACTGCACTCCAGGGAATCCTGGTGCAACCTGTAGGGCTGCACCTTCTGCCCGACCCTCCCTCCAGCAGCAGCCACCCTGACCCCCATGCAGCATGGGGGTGGGCAGGGCTGAGTAAGGTTCCAAAGTCATCACCGTCACACTGTGTTTGTAAATGAAACAAATCCACACCGGCCCCAAGCAGTCCCCTCTAAGACTCCAAATCGCCCTACCTTCTTCTCATTCGTGGGGGCGACCGACGCCACATGGGAGGTGGTGGCAGCATCCTCCTCGGAGGGCTGAATCGCCTGGGGGGCGGCCGAGGCCAGGGGGCTAGCACAGCGGTGGCAGTGATCTCCTGGCCGTCGATTTGTCCTGTTGAAAAAAGGACCAAGTCCCAAAATATCTGACAAGCCCCCACAGCCTAGGCCAGCCAGTGCCAGATGTAGGCCTAGCCTGGTAAGCAAGGACAGGGGAACTAAGCTTGTCACAGAAATGCTGACACAGTTACTACTACTGGAGGTTTCATCAGGAAATCTGTAGGGGAGCACGGAATCTCATGGGGAACTCAATCTTGAGGCACGGGGCCACCTGATGCACAACCACCTCCAAGAGGAAGCGATACCTGAATCCACTCAATGAGGGGAAGGTCTGTGCCCTGACCCTGAACTTCCTCCTCTAGAACAGTGGGAGGGGGCAAGCAAGAGGAGTGGGGACATTTTGGGGGCTCCGCAGGACTGAGATGGGGGTAAAGTGTAAGAACTCAAGAGGGACCGCCCTCAAATAGGTGGCCTCCAACCAGGTAGCCCAGTCCTCTCCCCTGCTGTAAAAGCCACACCCCATCCAATACCTCCCAGGTGTCCAGAAGGTGGCCTCAGGGTGCTGGGTCCCCATAAGGGCAGTGTCCATTATAACTGGACCAAGACTCTAGAGCTTGGTGGTGGAGGTGGGAGGGATAATCTATGACTGCATCATAGTTCAGGAGGAAGAAAAGACTACTGGGGGCAAGGGAACAAAATAAAACAAGGTTCAGCTGTCAAGTCTGTCTTAAGAGTTTGGAAAAAGTGCCTCAGGCCAAAAAACCAGGCGTGTGAATGCAACTGAGTAAGAATAGTGAAGGGTGGAGGCCTGAGGAATCTTTAGGGCCTCAGAAAAAGAAAGAGCAAAGAAAGGCAAGGCATCGACCTAGGAACTCCAGGGGAGCACGCACCCTGACCCCAGTCCAGGGACTGCTCAGGGGACTAAGCACAGCCCTTGTATGCCCCGGAAGGGTGGAGGGTTCTTTTATCTTCTCAATTCCTACCCTCAAGAAAACAGCAAAGCTATTGTGGGAATAACTTGGGCAGGTAGACCTGTGTTCAGAACATACTCAAAAGACTTAACTAAATGCAGCCTAAGGTCCTGCCCTGGCCCACTGCCAAAGCCAGCCCAAATTAGGAATTTTCACAGGCACTGACCATACAGCAATGAGGACAAATCTGGCCAGCTCCCTCATGCATGGTGCGCAGCACAATATGCGGACACACACTCAAGTCCTACCAGAATCTTAAAACATGGGGAATATGTATAGCCCTGCACACCCTGGATATGGCCAAGTGTCCTTGGATTTTTAGCAAGTGCTCAAACTCTCAAAGATGCATGACTGAGGATCTCTAAAATGAAGGTGTGATTCATAAGGTCAAGAGCTGCTGTTTATAGCTTGATGGGCCACAATTTAAGTAGATTGAAAGAGAATTAGCTTGGCGGTAAGGAAAATTTCCTAGTATCCAAGCTCTACCAGGGCTCAAGGGCAACTACCCATCAAACTGCTGCACTGTTTTTTTTGTGTGTATAATGGGGCCTCCAAGGTTCTGGGGTGTTCCGACTCTCCTCCCTAGGTGGCCTGGCAGCCCACAGTGTGCTACGGGCAGTCCTGGTTCTTGGCCCCGGCTGTCTAGATTACAACAGCACCGAGCTGGGGCAGAGACAAGTTCTAAGCTCCGTAAACACTGACTTGAAGACGAAATGAAAACTGGCCATCCAAAACTATTCCCAAGTGTTCAACTGTTGTTAAAACCATTCTGCTCCATACAGAACAGCTATAAATGTCACAAACAGTTAAGATACAAGTTTTAGGAAAATGGATAAAATGTGTGAATTCAGCAAAGTAATCCTAAAAACGCTGAAATGTTAGCACAACAGAAAATGACTCTCAGAGCATTAAAGGAAACACTCCCATATAAAAGCCAAATGCTTCATTATTCATACTCCTAATGTAGTCTTTATTAAAAAAAAAAAATTCCTTCGTTTAATCCTTAAGCTTTTACAGATTGGAAAATTCTAAAAATGCTAATGTATTCATATTTGCTGATCTTTTTCCAAGAATAATGTCCCATAGAACTTGTGTTCAGTAAACACACACCCCCTGGTTAAGAACCGGAACCCCGAGAGAGCTCCAGGGCGATTGTGATGTGCAGCCAGACTGGAAATCAGCTCTAAGGTCCCTACGTGTGGCAGGTAGCTGGTCTTGCACAGGGAACAAAGAAGGGAGCTCAGTGGAGGGCTGGCAGGGTCACCCACCTCCATCCATGTGCTTCAGTGCCTTCTCGGCTTCGTCTGGGTTCTCAAACTCCACGTATGCATAGCCTTTAGACAGATGGGGATGCATCCTTTCTACAGGCATGTCAATCATTTTAATTTTCCCATAGGTGGAGAATATTTCCATGATGTGGTCCTAGAGGAAAGAACGGTCACTCTGATGCATACCCACAATTACCCGTGTGGGAGCTGAGAAGTCACCACACAACAGCTATGCTTCGGCACCTGGGGTAAGTCTCACACAGAATAACCCCGCTCGACGCACCATCCCGCCAGTCCTCTGAGAGCCTATGTTCTCAGTTCTGAAACCTGCTTCTCTAGTTTTCCATTTAAAATATCTGCAGAAGAGACACACCCTATTGTCCATTGGATGGATCCAAGATCCCTCACCTTAGTCACATTCCTGGTGAGCCTACCGATGTGTACTTTGGTGGGCTTAGGGGAAGGACTCCGCCTTTTCCTTTCCTTTTCATCTCTTTTGGGTGGTTTGGATCTGATTGAAAAAACAAAACACCAGAAACAATCAATTTCTGTCAAGTCAAAATTTCTTTTAGTGGGGCTGCTAACTGCCACGATGACAGTTTTTTATAAGGAAGCTTTCCCTACCAGTTCATGTATATTCATATTATCTCTGCTTCAGAAATCCTACTAAAATAGAAAGACTCTTTTTAGCTCTACTTCTATAGTAACTACAATAACTTTACAGACCCCCATTTGTAAACTTAAGTTCCCAGATAATTCACAAGTTTTAGGGGCACTCCTGAGCAGAGAAATGGTGCTGGAAGGGAGCTTACTTGGAGCGGGAGCGCCTCCTGTTATCATGCCTGCGCCTAGAAGGACTTGGCGAGCCAGAGGAGCTGCTGGAGCTGGAACTACGGGATGTGCTGGAGCTTCCTGAGCGGCTAGACGCTGAAGAAGAGCTTGAGCCACTGCTGGAGCCCGTGCTCGTGCTGGAGCCCGAGCTAGAGGTAGAGCTGGACCGGGACCTGACAAATGAGACAGATGTGTCATGGGCAACAGTGGATGGGAGCATTTCTTCCGAACAGACAAGCCTCCACGTGCTCATGCTCCCAAGAGGAAACCACTGTCCTCCTGTTTTCAAGCCTCAATGTCTCCCTTCCTCAGGGAGTGGGGATGGTATTTACCCCACCCCTGCCTGGCCAAAGCCCTAGGTGGGGATAGAAAACAGCATCCACACTGTGCAGCGACAAGGAAGGAAGGGGGCACTTCCTAGCTATACAGAAGCCTCATCTACTGGGAGGTACAGATAGAGTCTGGCAAGTCGGAAGCACCAACCCAGCCTGGAAGGTGACTACCGAGGGACTCAGGCTGCTTTTCAACTGGAGAAAAAATAAGCTTTAGGCTAGGGCAACCCAATCATGACTCTGAAAAAAAAAGCACTTGAGAGAAACACATACCCCAAGATGTCCCATTCGTTAACACCTCTAGAAAACACCCAAAGGCCATCTTCCATATATAACCAGAGTAGACCCAAACCACTCTGCCATAATTAGGGCCTTGATTAACAGGCTCAAAGTGTTTTCTGTGTAAATAATGAGGACTCTCTGGGCTCTTTCGAGAAGGGAAAGGGGCGTGGCCACAGGAGAGAGGCTGGCTCAGTGCTCTGCCCTGCGGGGTCCCACCTGGTGCTGCTGCTACCACTGGAAGCGCTGCGCCTCTTCCGAGTTTTATCCCTGCCACGATCCTTCTCACTTGACTCCTTGGTGGCCCCTTTATCTTTAGAACGATCCTTGGACTTCTCATCAGAGCGGTCTTTGCGTTTGGTAGGAGAAGGAGCCCTGGATGGTGAGGAGGAGTGTGAGATCGCATGCCCCTCTGACCAAACCCAGAAACAACACTACCCAAAAGAGGGGATCCAAAGGGCTACAGAGATCCCAGGTGATCCCAGAGCAAAATGATCTGTGGCTTAGGACACATCACTGTAATATGTAAAACATTTCCAATCTTCCCCTTTCTGAGGGTCCCTAGTAACGAGCACCCCCAAAGTAGCACTAGAAAAATCTGACAGAAGGATTACCTAGTGCTGGACTTTTTATTATTTTCTTTGACTCCTAGCAAGCTCTTCTTTTTCACTCCTGATAAATCCATTCTCCCCTTCTGAGGTGTTCAAAGCAGCAATGGTGGCCTCACTTATCTGAACTCTCACTTCTAACTCGAGTCTGAGAAACGATCCCTAATCGATTGCAATTTACGCCAAAGTGCAGCCTAATAACAAGATAAAAGGATTTACAGAGTGAACGAGTTGGCAAGGCAACAAATCTACTTTGCAGTCAAAAGGTGAGCACACGAGGTGGTGGCAAGGAACACAGTAAGCAGCGAGCGCCCACAAAGCCAGGAACATCCAGGGACCTCTTCCATTTCCTCAGTGACAGTCCCGCCCCACAGGCAGACCCTCACCTCACCTTGTCGTCTTTTCCATAAGGAAACGGTGGTGGTGCCTGTCACTTATTTTACAGTTGGTACAATACCTGTGTTTCACTTCTTAGTTTGATGATAAGCCCTCTACCATCCCCTTAGAAATACTACACCACCACATTTGCAGGCAGAACAGAAAAAAAGCCAAGTGTGGCTCTTCTGATAGGATTACTGGTGTGATTAGATCTCTTGTTTTACTGCTGCAATTTCCTTGTAGGACACATTGGATATATGATAACTGGAAGCAAAAACCATTTCAAAAGTGACAGGTACCACCATCAAAACATTGAACACCCAAATGCAAACATATAAAATGTCCCATGTGAACATTGAAAAAGCAGTAAAATAGTTAAGTTAGAAAGCAGTCCTTGCAAATGCTGAGCTTCAGTTAATGAAATGCATATGGAAGTGTTATGGGGAAAGTACCCCAAAGTCTGCTATTTACTTCAAAATGCAACAGAAAATGTTGATGGGTGGTTTGGTATATGATAAAGTAAATATGGCAGAAATGCGACTTGTAGGATCTAGGTGGTGGTTATGCAGGTATTCACCGTGCAATTCTTTCAACCTTTCTGTATGTTTACATTTTTCACCCAAAATAAAGTGTGTGTGTGTGTGTGTGTATGTGGGGGGGGAGGCATTGGAATTGGAGGACACTGATCGTAAGGGTCTAACAAAGTGCCCGCACTGCAGCATGTGCTCAGTAAATATGACTTAGAACAAACTACTAATCCATTACGTGCCTGGTCTCCTGGGGGATCTTTGACCTTCAGTATTTCCAGGGAAGTTTTCTACAGTTTGCTTGAGCTGCAGGCAAAGATCTCAGGATGTTGGTGTCATCTACTTCTATCTCATCTTCCTCAACAGCCTCTAAGTAACCCGGACAAGGCAACCACTTGGGATCCTGTTTTCACACGTGTAGGGCTGCCCAAAATGCCGAGTAAATGTCGTGACTCAAGAAAGCTTTGGACAATCAAATTAGAGCAGAAGAAAGCAGAATGTCTGTCACTTCTGCTGCTCTTCTCCAGGCTGGTAAAATTGTTTAAGATGTTTTGCTTTAAAACAATAAGGTACTACAGGTACTGAGCAAGCAACACTGGATAGACACGGTCAGTGGCCACCAATCAGGAATTACAGTTCAGTGGATAAGAATCTGTGGACCCAGCCTGCCTGTTTGATTCGAAGCTTTGCTGTGTGACCTTGGATAAGTCACATAACCTTTCTGAGCCTCCACTTCGCATGAGCATTACGGTGACAATTACAGCTCCTACACCTCCATAGTTACCAAACTTGGCACCTAGTTAAAGCTCAGTAAAGGTTAGCTTATGTTAGAAGAAAGAGATGTCTCTCCGTGTTTGGAGGCTTCCCCCCCACATAAACTCGTGTCCCAAAGTCTCACATGACCTCTTGAATGCTCAACAGGGGTCCCTGGGCCACCCCATTAGGGGATCACCAAGTGCAGCACTGTCCAACGGAAACAGTGTGAGCTACAAGCACATCCTAAAATGTTCCAGTAGCCACCGAGCAAAAAGGTTAACAGATGAAACTGACGTTCAGTAAAGTATCTGAAAGCCCATAACCCCAAATATCATCTTTTCCACGTTCAACCGGTGTAAAAACTCCTTCATAAAACACTCCCCCCGCCCCTCACTAAGCCCCTCAAACCCCTCAGTGTGGCCCCGGGCTGCCTGCCTGAGCAACACGGACCTGCAGGGCACACTCCCGGGCCCCACCCCAGTCCCAAAGGTCTGCCCCAAGGTACCCCGCGACAACGAGCACCACCGGGATTCTCAAGCTCTACACATCAAGAACCATAGGGCGAGCGGACTTTGCCGGGCGTGGCCGAGTGCTAGACAGCAGAGACTGAGGCTCTCTGTTCACACAAGTTGGGGTCACAGCACAGGACCTCGGTTACCTCCCCCATCCTCCGGAAAGGTGCGCGTCCAACAGCCAGAGAGAGAAAGAACAGTTAGTTAAACCTCGAGCAGATGGCGTTTCGGCTCCCATCTTCAGAGCACCTTCCCCACTGAAAAGTGCATTTTCGGCACAAGTCATGCGAAATTAAGAGGAAAAGGCCACGACTTTGCTTTCCCGTATCCTCCCTTCTGGGGCAGCCCGTGCGGCCGCGCTGAGGGACAGCGGGGGCCGCGTCCCCGAGGGGCTCGCACCGACCAGGGCACGGCCCACTCAGCTAGTGGCCCCGAGGGGAGGGTCCGCCGGTCCTGCAGGGCACCCCACAAAGCATCTCCGCCCCCGCCGTCCCCGTCCGCGTTCACTCACAACTCCCCAGTTCAGGCGCCGGGCCGCGAGCGCTTCCAGGGCAGGGCCTGGCGTGGCGGGCCTGGGTCTCCACGCCGACGGCAGAGCCCCGAAGGCGGAAGCCGCGCTCCCGGCTTCTCCGAGTCCCGCGGGCCTAGCCGGGCGCGCCGCAGAGGGGGGACGATCTGAGGCGCCCTTCCGCCCGCCACGGCCCCGACCACTTCCGGGCCGCGGCCTCGGCACCTCCCACTCCGCCCGCCCCGGGCCACACTCTTTCTTCTCACACCCGCTGCCGCGCCGCCAGGCTGCCGTGCCTACCGAGAGGCCGAGGGGCGGGCCGGCTCCAACCACGCGCCCCGCCGAGCTTTGCGGGCAGCCCCCGAAGCTCGGATGGGGTCGGATTCCCCCAACTTACATCTTCCCGCCGCCGCAACCTCCTCCCGCTGTCTTCAGCCGCTAAAGCCCGCGCCTCTCTGGCGTCAGGATTAGGGAGCGGGAAGGCGCCGCTGTCGGGCGCGGAGCGATGACGTAAAGCGTCTCAGCCAATGGAAGCGAGCGAGGGGAGTGTTAAAGGGCCACGGCCGTTTCTGGTGAGCCGCGTCGGGGACTCTTCTTCTATATCCTTCCCTGGGGAGGTATCTGGGGCTACCCGCGGCTGGGTGCGTCCCACATGGGGCCCGCAGATTGTTGGCTGGGGGCCGCGCCGCGCGGGCAGCTCCCGGGCCGGCGCGGAGGGAGTTAACGCGGCTGCGGCCCCGCCCCGCCCATCGCGCACGCGCACTGGACTCGCAGCCCTTGATCCCGCTACAGCGCGCGCGGGGCGGCGGGGCAGTGTGGACGGTGCGGGCGCGGCGGGCGGTGCGGGCGGTGCGGGCAGTGCGGGCGCGGCGGATTCTGGCGGCGGACCGTGGGGCCCGCAGGGCGCAGGGGGCCAGGCAGGTGCAGGGACGGGTTGGTGAGATTAAAAACCACACGAGGTGTGCGGAGTGACGGTGCGGACCCCGCTTCTGCGCTAGCGGGGCTCGGCCGGGTCCCGAGCCTGGATAGGGGGCAGTGCGGCCATCGCCAACTGGGAGCGAAAGGCAGGGTAGAAGACATGATGTGAAGCGGGAAGCGCCTCCGAGGAGGTGACGCTGCGGCTGGGACCGCAGTAGGAGCGGGCGCCCGGCAGAGGGACTAGCAGGTGCAGCGGCGCGGAGGCTCGTTGGAAGAAGCGAGGGGAGGCCGGGGTGGCGGCTCGCAGGCCGGGGCTAGGAATGTGGGGTTCAGCGGTGCTGGGGCGACATGGAGCATGTGCAGCATCCCGCGCCGAACCGTCACCCCTCTGGCCGGTGGACAGTGCGGGCAGGGAGGCTGACTCTTCTGGCAAAGTAGTGGCCCCGAGCCCAAGCAGGAGGCTGGGAAGAGTAAATCTCGGTACCCAGCGGGCCAGAGCTTTCGGATTTTGTTCACCGAGGTGCCTCCGGCGTTCCCGGCCGGTGTCAGGCAAGCGGTCGTTACTCCATGACTCAGTGGGAGGAAGGAGGGTGCACCCTGCCGCAGACGTGGTCTGAACAGGTAGGTGCATCAAGGAAGAGAAGGCAACAGATGGCAAGCAGATCTCTTTTGGAGGAAGGAACCCCGGTGACTTGGAGATGGATTAGCTGCCAGGCAAGGACAGGAGAGTCCAGGTTGCAGCTAGTGCCCAGGGAGGGATGGACGGTGCTGCAGACGCTGTCTGCAAGTCATTGCTCTCTGCATGCCTAAAGGGCCTTGACCTAGCAGAGCCTTTGCCCAGGGCGGCACCAACACCCTAGGGTGGGAAGGGAGCAGGCCAGTGACCCCACCATGGCGAGAGGGGGGTAGGGACACAAGCAGCTGAGCTGACAACCGCCTGTGCTTTTTAAAATGTGCCAAAGTGATGTAACTTGGCATGCATACAAATTTTAACACGTTTTATATTAGATCTAAAGCATGATTTATTCAGACACATAAATTTAATCACATTTGTTTCTAAATATTACAGATTTTTGTTATCAAGTGTGTTATCAGCTGTTGAGCTTTAAAATTTGAGCATCTTGTCTTTGGCATTTTGAAGATCAACAATGTGTTCGGAAGAAACGTAAGAAGTTAAAACTGGAGGCCCCCGGCCCTGCCTTCCAGGAGTTCTGGCTTCCCCTTCTTACACCCCTGTGCCAACCCACTAAGGCTCTGGGGGCTGAGGGCTGGGATGCGGGTCCTCTGTGGACCTTTGAAGGTCTTTGGTCCAGGTTTGATGGCGGGGGTGGGGCAGGGCTCCTGCAGACAGGGCGATTGGCAGCCAGCCCCAGGCCTGGTTCTGCCAGTGTCCTGAGCCCCTCCCTTCCTTCCCAGGGTCGAGGGCCACCTCTTGGCATGTGGGGCTGCTCTCACTTTGGAATCAGAATGTTCCCTCTGCCTTCGTTCTCTATGGGCCTGATGGCCTCTGCAGTGCCTGTCCTTGGAGGCTGGTGACCTGGGACACGGTTTAGTGGTAGCCTGGATTGTGCTGGAAGTCACGGTGGGCCATCTAGGAGCTTCAAGTAGGCATTGCATTCCCTTGTAAACCATGTCCAGAAAGCACTAATACCTGTCGCTAATAGTCCCTGCGCTAAGGACACGGGGGGCCTGGCCAAGTGCAACAGAGGGGTTTGGGTGGGGTCAGGGAGCTGGTGATGGCTTGGTGACCTTGAGGGAGGCGTTAGAAGAGGAGCTGGCTCTTACAGGCCTGGGCTCCTGAGTGCCTGTACACCCTGAAGGAGCCCAGGAAGAGGCTCTGGCTGGTCCTTCTGGGTGGCCAGGCTGGGTCTTTTTTTTTTTATTTAAAGATTTTACTTACTTTGACAGAAAGAGACACAGTGAAAGAGGCAACACAAGCAGGGGGAGTGGGAGAGGGAGAAGCAGGCTTCCTGCTGTGCAGGGAGCCCGATGCGGGGCTCCATCCCAGGGCCCTGGGATCATGACCTGAGCCCAAGGCAGACGCTTCACGCTTCACGCTTCACAGACGGAGCCCCCCAGGCGCCCCCAGGCTGTGTCTTAAAGGGCCAAACCACCAGTGAGGATCTGGAGTTGTGGGGAGGCCTCTGCAGCTCCAGGCTTGTGTCTCCAAGGTGTGGGGTGTCCGGTCCTCAGACCTGCCCCCCTCCTCCTGCCAGCAGGCAACTCTGGACTCTCCTAGGGGTTGCTGAGCAGTGAGCTTGGGGGCTTGTGCTGGTTTTCATGCCCAAAGCCCTGTGTTCATTTCTGCCCCAGGGAAGTCAAGGGTAGTGACACTAGAGCTGGGGGGAGCCACAGGGGGCAGGGTGGGGTCCAGCCAGAGCTGGATACAGAGCAGTCAAGCTGGTGTGCTGAGGGCCATGCAGAGCGTGACTGCGGCCGAGCCGTCTTGGCCCCTGGCCCTGCTCCCAGGGCCTGTGTTGTGCCATCCACAGCCAGTTGACTTGGAACTTCTCCGATCTTGGAGGCATCTGACACCAGTATCTGTGGGGTATAGGCCGGGCCCCAGGAGCGGGGCCTGGGCAGCCCTGTGTGTTGAGGAAGGAAGGCAGGGCCCCCGCTCCCCGGGCCCGACCCTGTAGCTTCAGCTCCTCCTCGTGCCTGCTTGAGGCCTAGGCCATGTGGGCCTGTCGGGTGGGGATGGGACTCCAGGGCCAAACACCCTGCTTTCTGGTGGTCTCCTGAGGGGCTGTGGGGCCCGAGTTCTCTGCCTTGTTGACCCTTCGCGGGTAGCCTCTCGGCCCACCTGCCCTAAGCCCCCTCGTGCAGGGACGCCAGTGGCTTTCCCTCCTTCGGGAGAGGGAGTTGAATCTTCCAGGGTTTGGAGTTGGACCTGAGCCGGGGTTCAGGGAAGGGGCCTCGTGTCTGCAGAGTGGGGTATCACACATGGCCTGCTGGCCTCAGCTGTGGGGTGGGGTGAGCAGCCTAATCCTGATCTTGGTGTTTGGGGAGACCTCTTAGAACCTCTGTGGGTCAGCTCCTTGATGCAGGAGCAGGTGGGGGTTAGCCCCTCTGGGCCCAGGTGGAGCCCAGGCTGGCTACCCAGGAAAGTCCCTCTGTGTGCAGGTAAGGCTCGGGCTTTTGGTGTGGCCACAGGGTCTGGGTGAGCACAGGTGGCTCGCCCTTCACTGACCAGTCTGCATGGGAGTGGGAGTCTCAAAGGACCCGGCTGGCTTATACCATCAGTGTCCCGCTGGTCCCCAGAAGGGAGCTGGACAGCAGCTGGCCTCGGGTATCCTGTAGATGGAGCAGCCAAACCAGTCAGCCTGCCTGCTGGTCTGGCCCCCGGTCTCTTGGAACCCTCACCCCTTATCTCCAGGCTCTGGCCCTGCAGGTATCAGGTCTGGGGTGTTGGGACATTGCTGTCTCTATGTGATCAAAGAATTGGGCTCACGTGGGTCCAGGCCAGGCAGGCTGGGCCAGGTCGTCCTTCACCTGGGGGGTATGGTCATCCCCAGGCAGCTTGTGGCCACCCTCGGACCAGCGCCTTCCAGCCTTCCTTCCAGGTGCTGGCCTTGGCTCACTCCTCCATCAGCCTTAGTCCGTCAGCTGCTTCCTGAGACTGGGCTGAGGGTCCCCGAAATGCAGCTGACCTCAGCTCCCCCTGGAGTCCTGTACTGAATATCTGGGATTGGCATTTGCCCAGCAAAAAACTCCAGTTTGCCTTTCTGTGTTGTTGCAACCAAAGGGCCAGGACACTCCATGGTGGGCAGGGGGGTGGGTCACTTCTGCTGGGCTGTGGGGCTTCCTAAGTGAGGTGGGGTCTTAGCAGCTCAGGCGGGCAGCAAGAGCATGCCTGGTGGGGCCCCCCTCGAGGATGCCAGTCTGCACACTGCAGTCGTGGTAGAGGCTGGGATTGTGTCCTGGAGCCTGGCTTTTATCTGGGGTACGCAGCTGGTGTCCCATCTCACTGCGCCTGGTGCAGCCCCGCCTGTGTGCAGGGCAGTGACTCAGACACAAATGCACATGATGTCCAGGGGTTGGGCCCTCCTGCTGTTCCTGCTTCCTGCCATTCCATCTGGAGCCTCAGGGACACCTTGACGCCGGGAAAGGACCTTGAGAGGGCGTCTCCACCTGGACACAGCAGGCAGATGGAATCTGACTCCCTGAGGCCTTGATGGTGACACAACGCCCAGACCCGCCTTCTCTGGACTTTGTACTCGCAGAGAAATAAACGCCGGTCTTTTTTTAAACTGCTGGGGCCCTGCCTTCTGGTGTGTGCGGCCAGCAGGCTGAGCCTTCGCTCCCCGGGAGCTGTTTCTGTGGCCGGGGGTGGGGTCCCCTGGACACACGGCAGCGGACTGTGGCCTGCTGCCTGGCATTCTTCCCCAGGGGGGAGCAGTGGAAGGGCTCGGCCTGAGGCCCAGGCCTGGCCCAGCAGGATCTGCCCCCTCCTCTGTCAGGCCATGTTCTGAGTGGCACTGTCATGCTGAGGGACGGGCCACTGTGTTTGGGTTGAGCCACACCATTGGACGGGGCCGGATTTTCCACAGACCTCCTCAGCCTTCGCGTGGGTGTCGGGCCCCTTGGGAGTGTCTTCACCCTCCTCCCCTCCCTCCCCCCCCCCCGCCCGCCCCCCTGACCCCCAAGGCCCCAAGGCCTGGAGGAGAGGGTTGGGCTGGGGATGGGGGATGAAGCAGGTCAGCTCTCCTGTTGGGTGTCTGTCCGTGGTTCCTTTCCCATCTTGGGGCCCGGAGCTGCCTCAGCTCAAACCAAACCAGCTAGGCTCGGGGAGAAAAGGGTTCAGGCCCCACTCCTGGCTCCTCAAGGATTCTCAGCTCCTGTGATGGGTGTCCAGCAGCCTTGCGCATGACCTGACGATGCCCCTTCCAGCAGGACTCCTGGGGTCCCTCCTGCCTGGCTGCAGTGCTCCACGCTCGTCCCACAGACACCCCGGGCCCTATGGGCTCTCACCGACTGTGCAGCACACCGGCCCCTCTGGTCCCCACTGCGGCAGCTCAGCCCTGCCCTGCCCTCTCTCCAGCCACTGGTGGTCTTCCGAAGAAGGGTCTGGTCAGGACCACGGCCACTTTCATCCTGCCTGTCTCCACAGCCCTCTCTCCTTGTCCCGTCACACAAAGCACCTCTCTCTGGACCAATGCAATCTGATTCAGGGTCGGTGTGCCTCGCACATGCTGTTCCTTCAGTCTTGAATGCCTTTCCTCATGCCCTCAAAGGAAAGAAAAAGCCAGATTTCTAAATCTCTAACCCACAAGCTGAAAAGCAAGCTCAGGCCGTGGAGCAGTGGGGCCACCGGCTCTGCCCCTCCTCGCGCCGCCTGGCCAACCCCAGCAACCCTGAAGCGGCGCAGGCCTGCCTCCCAGAAGCTGCTTCCTGTGGGGCACGTTCAGGGCCACAACCACCCCGAGTTTACGTTTTATAACATGGAACTAAACGATGAGGGTGTAAGGAATTCTGAGGGGAACAGAAAGCTACTGGAGACTTTGCGGCGTTCTAAGCTTGGGGAGGCTGATAAAAATGCGCGAGACTGTCCTAAAGTGATGCAACAAGTCTCTAGAACTATGAATCCTAAGGGAATACAGAAAACAGAGATTCAAATTGTGGAAATTTAGGAAACTAAGAAATGGGGCGCCTGGGTGGCTCAGCCGTTAAGCGTCTGCCTTTGGCTCAGGTCATGGTCCCAGGGTCCTGGGATCGAACCCCACATTGGGCTCCCTGCTTGGTGGGAAGTCTGCTTCTCCCTCTCCCTCTGTGCACACACTCACTCTCTCAAATAAATTTAAAAATCTTAAAAAAACTATCAGAAATACGAGCATATAAATAAAAAGGAAGCTGATGCGGAAGAAGAATCTTCTGCCTAAAGCCCCGAATGGCCCTGGTGTCCGAGGCCTCCCGCCCCTCGGAGGTCTGCACAGCCCACCCTGACCCTGTGCTCGTGCCTCCTGGTGGGGACCGCGGACCTGCCGGGGGGTGCCTGTTTAACCCGCTCTGGCACCTGCCGGCCTGGCTGCTTCACCTCCTGGCAGTGAGCGCTGGAAGTCACTCCATATAGACCGAGGTCATGTTCCCTCCCGAACTTTATTTTCTGGACAGAGTCACCGCGTGTCAGGTGCATCCTCCATAGACATAGACGGTCCCTTGGTCCCGCAGTGGTCCCTAACTGGCCTCCTGCTTGTGGCTTCTCCAGAAGCCAGCCTCGGGCATGAAGGACTGCCTTCTCTCCCCGAGCCCGCTGACCCTGGGAGACGCTGGTGTGATGGCGCCGGGCGTGGGGTCAGCCCTGCCTGGCATCAAGAGCATGCTCCGTGGAGCAGCGACTCCCAGGCCCCCCGGAAGCCAAGACCACAGACTGTGGTCACAAGCAGCACCTCCCTTGTGGACGGCCACAGGCAACACTCTCCATTCCGGGCAGCCTGGCGAGCCCTGCTGCCCGCTGTCCTGCTGGCTCCCCGTGTCGCCCCTGGGAGGCTCCATGCTGTGTGCAGATATGGGGCTGTTACTGGTGCTCGTCTCGTGAGCACTTGAGGAAATGCAAACCCCAGGTCGGCTGCAGCCCCTTCCCGAGGGGCTCTCTGCCCAGAGACCCCAAGGCTCGCCCGCACGTGCCTGCAGGGCTGCTTTTGCTGGGTCCTGAGTTCCAGAGAGGGGCTCTGGCCACTGCCTTGGACACAGATGTTTGCATGCTGATTCCCAGCGTGAGGGCTCCGACATCCTGGTCCCCACTGTGCCTTGATTCTCGCGTCCATTATAGAAAACGGTGATTGGAAATAAAGGTGCAGGATAAGATGAACTCGGAGGGGGAGGACGCCTGCCTGTGCGGCCACTTGCCCCACGCCTGCTGGCTCCTCATGGCCCCTCGTCCTCGGCAGGTGGCTGCAGGTGGGCGAAGCTCAGGAAGACCTGCTCCAGTGAGATCTGGCTCACAGAGTAGTCATCCACGGCATACTTCTCCTTGGCCTTCTCCAGAACACCAAACACCTTGTGGGAGCAGAAAAGCGGCTGTTAACAAGCCCAGGGGTGGGGGCACCTTGGCTGGTCTGGGAGTCCTCTGGCCCCAGGGGGTGGGGGGGTAAGGCTCCCAGAGTTCCTACCCTGCCCCAGCTGGAGCCCCGTGCTCCCCGGAGGAGGTGGGGGGCTGTGCAGGACGAGCAGGCCCTGGGGGCCAGGCTTCCCCCGAATCTTCCCAGCTCGGAGTGCAAACTTGGGCACGCTGTCTGGGCCAGTTTCCTTTTTGCACCCATTTTTTTTCTGACTCAAATGAGCCTCTGAACCTGGCAGATTTTAGGATGAGTGCTAGAGCAGAAACTGTAAGACTCCTCTCTGGAAGGAGCCTAGAAGCCCCACAGAAGGAGTGATGGCTGTGAGGGCCTTCCCCAGCCCCAGCTAGGCTGGTAGGGCCCACACTCACCTTGGCCCAGCTGAGGTCATCCCCGGGCAGGTGGTAGTGGACCATCCCTTGGTGCTCATCTTCCAGGACGCTGCCTGCATGAAGAAGATACCGTGTGCCCATGAGGGCCAGGCTGGAGGGCCTGGGACCATGCAGTCATGGCCCTCCTCCCAGGGGTCAGGGACGGGGGACTCGGCAGGGGTGAGGCACAGATGCCCTCTGTGCAGTGGCCCTCACCTGGGAAGGTCAGGTTCACAAACGCCTTGAACTCCTCCAGCGCCTCCTGCTGCCCGTCGCAGCGGACCTTGGCCCGCAGGGAGTAGCCGCTGCCAAACTTGCTCTTGAGGTGCTGTGGGCTGCCCAGGCACTTGAACTGACCCTGCACCATGATGGCCAGCCGGGTGCATAAAGCCTCGCATTCCTCCATGCTGGGGAGAGGGGCAGAGGCCTGACAAGGGGCCGGGGGATGCCAACACCTGCCTTCTGTGTCAAAGGCTCAGGCAGAGGGGCCGGTGTCAACGGCCAGATCACACTGTTCCTGATTCCCATGTTCAGAGGGTGGCCCACATGGCTAGCTGGCGACTTTCCTCACAGACTCTGAACCAGCTGCTGACAGGTCTTCTGTCCACCCGGCCCCACCCGGCCAGCCCTCGTCCCGGCTCTTCCACTGACCCCCCGAGACCCCGGCTCTACCTGTGGGAGGTGATGACGATGGCCTTGCCCGACTCTCGGGCCCGTGCCACAGTGTCCCAGAGCAGGCGCCGGGCCACGGGGTCCATGCCAGTGGATGGCTCGTCCAGGAAGATGACCGAAGGCTCTCCAAGCAGGGCGATGCCTGTGCTCAGCTTCCGCTTGTTGCCACCGCTGGGAGCAAGGGGGAGTGTAGGGGGCAAGGCTCATAATTAGCACAGGCTCCCTGTGTCCTAGCATCAGACTGGGCCCAGTGATCACAGAGCGCCCCGGGTAAACAGGAATGAGGGGATCGTGCCTGGAAAGCCCACCTTGTGGTTTTGGGGGCCCCAAGGAAAGCTGTGCTGGGGGGTCAGTCCACACCCACACAGAGGACGGTAACACCGTCGGTTTCTGCTGACCAGGGTCTGACAGGCCTGACCTCCCCCTGGCCTGGCTGTGCCTCCCAGTGGCAGGAACCGGCAGGGCAGCCCCTCCCCCCCCGCCCACCCCCGCCCCACGCTGCCTGGGTCATGCCACCAGATCCCCATCCCATCCTGGAAAGACGGGTGGGAGCTCTGGCCCTGGACCCGTTTGGCTGCCCCCAGCCTTACGGTAAGGGAGACTCAGACTCCACCCCAGGGGCGTGGCAGTCACTGCGGCTCTGGGCGGTTAGGGGGCCAGAGTGCAGCCACACCTGTATGTCCTGACCAGCTTGTTGGCGTGTGGCTCCAGAAGCAGGCCCCGGAGCGTGTTCTCCACGCAGGCGCCGATGTGGCGTTCGGGGATGCCCCGAAGCCGGGCGTACATGACCAGCGTCTCCCAGCCCGTCATGTGGTCCAGCAAAGCGTCAAACTGGGGGCAGTAGCCGATCCGCTGCCGCACCTGGAGGTGGGGTGCAGGGGGTGCAGCGGGTCAGAGGGGGGCTCCTCCAGGTTTCTCCCAGCGGATCTGTGTGGGGCGGCCCGGCGGTGGACAAGCCCCGGCGGCCCCCACGCTGCACTTTGTCAGGGACACTGGAGGGCCCTGGCCAGCTCGCGGACGCCCGGGCGCACATCCCACCCCACCCCTAGGCGCCAGAGACTGCAGGAGCCAATGCGGCCACGGCATGCGGGGTGGGCAGGAGCACGAGGCCACCATCACTGTGATGTCTGTGTCACCGCTCCTGCACCATGAGACGTTAAGCAGGCGCGGGGCATGTAAGCCCTTCCCCTCTGCTCCCGCTGATCAAGGAGGGGTTTGCGGGCGGCGCCTCTGGGGCGGGCGGCGCTTGGACCCCGTGCAGCCGCACCGTCTCCCCAGCTACTGCAGCAGCAGGCGAGGGGCCGGCAAGCCTGGGGCTGGTCTGTGGATTCCAGACGGGGTTTTCTCTCTCTTTACCCTCCTGGGGGCTCCTAGGCTTCAGCCGCCCGGGAACACCCTCTCTCTGCCGCTGCCCCATCACTCAGTACCGTCCCCGTGCTCTCCCACCCCCTGGAGCTCAGACCGGACAAATGGATGAGTCCCCTCCCTCTCCAGCTTCTAAGATGTGTTTATGGTTTTCTTTTTCCTGCCTGTGTGTCTAATCTTGTTTGTTTCTCTAAACACGGTAAACACAGGTGTTTTAGAATCCAGGTCTGGCGGTGGCAAATCTAAAGTGCTGGGCTTTTTTCTCCCGCGGGTTCTTGACACGGGGCTATGCTTCCTTTGTTTCTCAGTGTGTGTGAACTGCCCACAGGCCCTGGAACACTGTCTGGGGCTTCTTGGGGGGCCTCAGAGGAAGGCCTTCCTCTAGACAATGTAGGCGGCACTCTGCAGGCATGGCGGACTAGAAGCCCCCACTGCCAGATGGGACACGCGGTTGCCCCAAGGCCCTGGCCCACGCTCTGCCTCTCCCCTCGGCACACAGAGGACCCCCCAACCCAATCCCCAGGGGTGCAGAGAGTGGGAGGGCAGCCTGGTTCATCCTTACCTGGCCCCACGTGGAGAAAGTCTCATGTCACACCCTACCATGGGGGCCCCGGGCCTCGGTTTCTCCTTCACTCAATAAGGCCCTGAAACCTGTGCCCGGGGGGCCAGGAGCACCGTGTGCTCTCTGCAGAGGTGGAACCTGCCATGCCTCTAGGGGCTCAAGAATTTTGGCTGGGGCTCCTCACTGTGCATCGGGCTCTATGATGCTCTTAACAATGGGCTTTGTCACTGACATTTTACCCAGCTGTGGTTCTTGATGGAATGCCTGGTCTGAGCAGCTCAGGGCACCGTTATGATCAATCTGTGCACATGGACTGCACAGTGCTGTGAGCACCATGGCCCTGGGGCCAGAGAAGCGGCTTCTCAGAGAGAGGCTGTGGCCTGGGCCCTTCGGGCCTAGGGGGCTCTTATCTTCCTGTTCTCTCTGTTCTCCCCATTGCTTTGCTCTGGCCCCAGTCACTGCCTCGTCCTCCTGTCCACGCACCGTGAGCCAGAAACGAGCCCCATCCCTGCCTCCACGGGGCCCCCTCTTCCCGCCTCTCTGGCTGCACCCACCTTCCCGATTTCAGAGCTGATGCTGTAGCCCCCGACAAAGGCATCCCCAGATGTGATGGTCTCCTCCCCCGTCAGCATTTTGAAAGTTGTGGTTTTCCCGGCTCCGTTGAAACCCAGCAAGCCGAAACACTCCCCTTTATGGACTGCAAGGGAGATCTTGTCCACAGCAAGTAGGGGCGTCGTCTGCTCGTACACCTGCGGGACACCGGGCTTTGGGGCCTGCAGGCAGCCAAGAGGGGTGCCCGGGGCCCATGTGGGGAGGCCCACCTTACCTTGGAGAGCTCCTTGATAACCAGAGGTGTGTCCAGCAGGGAGTCCATGCTGGGGGCCAGGACCCGGTTCCTTTCATCCACCACGTCCTGGTCCTCAGGAGGTGCTGACGTCCGAGCGTACGCTTCCGTCTAATTGTTCCAGAAAAAGACCACATGAGTGAGCTCCAGCTCAGGGTGTCCTCTTCCATGGGACAAAGGGCGGGGGTCTCTAAGACCGCTGGTGTGCTGACTCAGGGCTTTCACAAGGACAGCTGGTGGACTTAAGGGCTGACATGAGCACCGAGGAGATGCAGACAGCCAAGGAGCAAGGATGGTGCAGCACACATCGAGAAAGCCAAGAGCCTCTGGTGAGGGTGTGGGGGGCTGTACTATGTGGACAGAAGCTCCTTGTCAGAGCGGTCTTCAGAGGTCAGAGCAGACCCCCCGCCCTGGGTTCCTGTGTCCGTCCAGTGCAGTTTCCGCCCAGGCTGCGTTTGTGGGACGGGAGGTAGGTGACAAACACGAGGGCTACCGGTCCGACAGCCTCTGCCAAGACGGAGGCTGTGGGGACCCCAGGGTCCGGGACTGGCGAGCCCGGGGGCTGGTGAGCATGGCGGCCCTCCCGTGCGTGCACCTGCCCAGGCCAGAGGGAGGTGGAGGTGTGGGGAGTGCTGGGGGTCACTCACCAGCGCCCGCCTCCTCCAGAAGGCACAGAGGCAGGTCTTCAGCCTCCACAGCGTGTCGGTCTCGATGAGGAAGAGCAGGCTGAGGTAGGCAAATCCAGAAGCTGCCATGGAGGTCACGAACCTGCCGACCCCCGGGGCGCTCCACGCATAGAAGTTCTGCTGGTACTGGATGTCTGTGTGGGCAAGGGAGTGAGCACCACGCCCTCCTGCCCTGCGCTGTCCCATGTGCCCCCGCCCTGTGCGCCCCCCCCCCGCCCCACGTGCCCTCTCACCCCGCGTCCCAGCCCGAGCCCCTCTCTAGGCCCACAGGTGCCTGCACACCAGCCTCCGACAGAGGCTGTGAGGGCACAGGGTCCACTCATCTTCTGAGGCTGCACCCTGTGCTTGTCACTGCCTCACAGAAGCCCCAAGAACTGCCGACATCTGTGAGCAGTTTTACTTTGCAAGGGGTGCCTGTGACAAGTGACCGAGTCATGCCCTCACTTGCTCACTCCCACGCTCCTTCCCTGCTCAGGGGGAGGGGCGGGGCTGCACTGAGACGTGAAGATGTGACCCCCCCACCTCACCCCCATGGTCACAGAGGTGACAGATGACCACAGCTGAAGACTGGTCCAGGCACTGATAGGGCATGTGGTGGGCTGAAAGGTGGCCCCCAGAACAACACGACACGTCCTAACCCCCAGAACCCATGAGCAACTCCACTTAAAAAAGGATCTTTGCAGATGTAAAAAGCTAAGGGTCTCGAGGTGAGATCCCGCATTTGGGATGGGCCCTGAATCCAACCACAGACGTCCTTGCAGGAGAAAGATGAGGGAGGCTGGAGATACAGAGATGCCTGGGTGGCAGAGGGACCCAGGGGTCAGCCTGGGGGCGGCCTGGGGTGAGGGGGCGCCCCCTCACAGAGCGGAACAAAGGTCCCCCCCAGGAGAGCCCCGCCGCGGGGTGCGGGGTGGTGAGGGGCGGCCATGGGGACACTCACTGTACTTCCTGCAGTAGTGGGCCGCGACCTCCGAGGAGGTGCAGTACCTCCGCATCTCAAAGTTCTCGTGGAAGCTGCTGACCGCCATCCCCAGACAATGGTTGGGCAGCACCAGGAACACGTGGTCCAGGGTTCTGGAAAGCTCTTCTAACTTGACCGCTGTGGGGAGGGGCACAGACCAGTGGACGCTGGGGGACACACGAGTGCGGTGTGTGGGGGCCAGATGCCCAGCCGGGTGTTACCCCCATGTGGGGTGCCAGGCCCTCCCAGGACGGCACCTGTGGGACAGCACCCCCACGCCCTCCCGGCTGAAACCTTGAGGCGGAAGTGCCGCGGGCCCAGCAGGGCCACATTTGGCAGAGGGGCCTGGCCCAGTGCCCGCTGCTGCCGCCCAGGTTCGGGGCAGAGTGGCTCCGCGGGCACCCGGGGTGAGGGGTGAGGGGCGGGGGGTCCGCAGGCCCCCACCTGGGATGCGCATGATGGTGACCATGAGGAAGGTGGCTATGCCCGACAGGATGTTGAATATGGTCAGCCTCGTGTAAGCAGTGGCTGCTCCCGAGAAGAAGAAGTTCATCAGGTACATGAGGGGGATGATGGCCCAGCCATAGAGCATGAGCAGCAACAGGGCATCTGCCATGTGGCCGTCGCGCGTGAAGGCGTGCACGTCAAAGGCTTTGAACACCACCTGCGGCGGCACAGAGGCAGGTGGCTCGGGGGCCCTGTCTCCCCGGTGGCTTTCAGCCCTGGGACTCCCCCCGATAACCTGTCCCACGCCCCTCTGTACTTGGAGTCATCATGGGGCACGCCGCTCTGGGGCCCTGCCCGCCACCATGGGGCGGAGGCTGGGGGTACAGACACAGATGAGGGGTGTTCCCGGCCACCCTCCCAGATGGGGCTGAGCAGCCGGCATGCACCCCAGGTTGGCTGCAGTCAGTGCAGGGGCCCCAGAGCAAGCCCCCTGTGACGTGCGGGGGGGTGTCCCAGCACCTCGCAGCCCTCACCAGAAGCAGCAGACTGGGGACGAGGAAGGACATGAGGTCCCACAGCAGTGCGGAGAGCCAAAAAATAGCCACGTGGACCCCGCTCACAAACTGGACATGCTTGGCCTGGACGGCCCTCTCGCTGACTGCTAGGATGGAGAAGGTGCTGGCCAGGAACGCCATGGCGAACAGCAAGTTGAGAGCGATGTTGAATCCCTTCCGGCCCCTGCGGGGGGTTGGGGGGACAGGGCAGGTCAGGGACTGGGTGGGGACCAGGCAGCAGGGGACATTCATTGAGTCACTGGTCACCATCCAAAGCATGCGGTGGAGCGGCCCAGCCGCTAATGGGGGTTAAGAGAGAATGCCAGAGCTGTGTGTGTGTGTTGAGGGGGGGCGGGTCTCAGAGCAGGGAAAATCTCATCCACCCCAGAACTCCTCCTCTGGGCCTCCGGTCCCCAGTGATGGCAGCACCACTCTCCCAGCCCCCCACTCCCCACAGACATGCAGGTGACGGGCCACCACTGATCCGCCTTTCCACATCTCCTGAGAACCCCCCTGTGGCTGGCTCCCCCCTGGCCAGGCCCGCCCCCCCCAGCGGCTCATCTCCCGCATTGGGCACATCCCACATTCTGCAATCGGTTGTCAGAAACCAGCACGGGGGGCGTTACTCTGCTGCTTAAAGACTTCCCGTCTGTCTCAAAAATGGCATTTCGACACCTGGATGCTACTTGGCTGGAAACAGAGAATTATGGATACACATTACAACATGGCTGGGCCTTGGAAGTGAAAGAGGCCAGTCACAAAAGGCCTCTCACTATACGATTCCATCAGTAGGAGATGTCCTGAGCAGGTACGTCCCCAGATGGGACAGCGCGGAGGCCGCTTGGAGAAGGGGAAGGAGGATCGGCAGTGACTGCTGTGTCCTGGGGCTCCCGCGGGCGTGACGGCTCACTCAGTAAAATCACGCTGTGGTCCAAGAGGCACAGGAGAACGTGCTGGGCACCACGAAGCACCAGGGAAATGCCCATCAAAGCCGCAGGGAGAGACCACCTCACAGAGATCTCACGTCTGGTATGTGCGGGCAAGGACGCGGAGAGAGGGCAGCCCTCGTGCGCTGTGGGTGGGAATGCACATGGGGGTGGCTGCCGCTCGGGAGAACAGCGCGGAGGGCCCGCAGAAAGTTAAACCCAGAGCCACCATATGCTCCAGAAATCGCACTTTCTCAGAAAATGGAAACTCAAAACTCGAAAACTCGAACCCACATGTTCGTGGCAGCATTGCTTACAACGGCCGAGAGAGAAACAACCAAGTGTCCATCGGCAGGATCAAGAAACCAGGGTCTAATCACAAGGGAATACTTTCCAGCCACAACAAAGAAAGACATCCTGCTATTTGTGACAATGTGGATGGTTCTTGAGGACAATGAGCTAAATTAAGTACATCACACAAAGAAAGACAAATACCCTATGATTTCCCTTACGTATGGAATCTGAAAAAACCCAAATCCAAATGGAAGTCGTAGACCCAGAGAACAGATTGGTGGTTGCCAGAGGTGGGGGGTAGGGGGTGGGCACAGCAGGTGAGGGGTCAACATGTACGGCTTCCCCGTCGTAAGATAAACGTGTCCTGGGCTGTCGCGTACAACATGGGGACTACCGTGAAGGTTAGCGATCCTGGATCGCGTGTCGAAAAGTCGCTCAGAGAGACAACCTTAAAACTGCTCATCACAGGAGAAAAAACTCTGGAACTCGTGTGACCAGGGATGTGACCAGATCCAGGTGGTGAGGGTTCACCACACATTTGGAACTAATGTGACCTCGTGCGTCAGTGACCGCAAGCATGCCGAGGGCCCCACACTCCGAACACGCTAAAGACCATTTGACCGTACGTTACACACGGGTGCACAGTTCTATCTGCTCACGCTGCAAACACAAAACAGAGTCCCACCGCCCTGTCCACCACACTGAACCCACCGGGAGGGAGCTGCCCCTTGTTCTGGCTCAGCCCCTGCCCCGCCCGGATCTGAAGGCCCCGCAGGCCTGTCTCCCCAGGGCCCAGTCAAAGTGGAGGCCCCAGAGTGGTGTGGTTCCAACCCTGCAGTGTGCTCGTCTGCTCCTGGAGGGGCAGACAACGGCCACCGTGTCTCTGCTTTCGGGTCATGGAGGTCGTGGAGGGGGAGACTGCGTAGGGTCTGCGTAGGGCCCAGAGTGCAGTCCAGTATGGGGCAGGGCGTGAAGATGAAACTGCCAACCCCATTAATTGCCCTACATGGGGTGATGGTTCTGAAATTAACTGATTTTCTCGGGCTTTCTCTGGATGGTCCCAGGGTTTGGGGGACTCTGTAACCAGTGTGGGGGAGAGTCCCCCATGCATCAGGGCAGGACAAGGCCTGAGAACAGAGATGTCCATGGGGCTTCCTGACTCGCAGCTGCCTCGGGCAGCGACCCCTGACCTCGCTGTGTTCTGCATCCTGGCCGTGTGCTGGGACCCCTGGGGACAGCAGTCAGCAAGAGCTGGGTACAGACTTGGGAAGAGGGCCCGGCCGCCCTCCAAATCCTCAGGAGTCCCCCCTCGGAGACCTCAGTGGATGGAGGACAGGGTCTCACCAGCTACCCAAAGAAAGAGTATGAAAGGCTGAGGAAGATGTAGGGTAGGGGTTCCCTGGCCAGAACCCAGAAGCTTCCTGAAGGCAGACACAATGCCATTGGTGGTCCCTGGCACTGCCCTGGGGGCTTGGTCCTGATGGTTGGGGGTGGGGCTCTGGCAGAGGGGCAGGGGGCGGGGGCGGCACACATACTCGTTGAACTGGTCCTTGGCGGCCTGCAGGGTGGTCCGGGGCTGGGGGTAGTTGGAGACCATGATGGAGGCCCGGGGGCCACACAGCTGCTTGAACAGAAGGTTGTCCACGACGGCCAGTGCAGTAGCCGGGGAGTGGTATGCCTGGTTGTTGAACAGGGCAGTGACCACCATCCGCTCGCCGACGTCTCTGAAGGACACCGCCACCAAGCACCGCTCGTTAAAGCCGCCTCCCTCCACCGAGGCCCTGAAAATCAGGAACTCCTCCAGATCACCTGGGGGGGGACAATGGCAGGGTGAGTGGCGGAGGACAGCCCCCTGGGGTGCGTGCCTGAGGCTCTGGAGGAACCGCAGGAAGGACACGGGCCGAGGAGCCACGTCATGGGAGCAGCAGGGCCTGAGGCTGCAGGACTCTGGTGAGCAGGCACACCGTAGCCACAGGAGGCCATGTGGGCGGAGTAAGCTCCTCCTTGTGCCCCACAAATGCCCCCTGGGGGGGGACACTAAAGGAGCAGCCTTGGACCAGGGCCGGCATGGCAGGGAGGAGGCTGCTCAGAAGGAGGCAGAGCTGTCTCAGCTGATGGGCGCTGGGCGGGCCAGCAGATACAGGGAGGGGCGGCCAGGGGACAGGGAGGGGCTGCGCTGCCCTCGTTGGGGGGGCAATTAGACAGGACCTCTGCCTGTTTTTCTGGTGTTCCAGTTTCTATGGAATGAATAAGTACCTTTTCAGAAAAAAATAAGATGATTTTTCAAAAGAATGGCCTGGGATGCCTGGATGGCTCAGTCACTTAAGCGTCTGCCTTCGGCTCAGATCATGATCCCGGGGTCCCCAGATTGAGCCTCACATCGGGCTCCCTGCTTGGCGGGGAGTCTGCTTCTCTCTCTACCTCTCCTTCTGTGCGTGCGCGTGCTCTCTCTCTCAAATAAATGAATAAAATCTTTAAAAAAAAGAGTGGCCTGGGGGAGGGGGGTGCAGGGAGGAGGAGCATTCCCTCGTCACCCGGAAGAACCCCAGCCAACTCTCACTTCAGGTCTTGGACCGGGCATTCGGGTTCTGGACAGTCCTGCTGGCTCTCACTTGGCTCCCTGGCAGATGCCTGGAGAGAAGGGGGTCTGACCAGGGGTGCCGGGGTCTGCCCTATGCTCCCTGCTGGCTGCATGGTCCAGCATCACACGCACCCGCTTACACCCTCGCTGCCCTGGCCCTGCCTCTCACTCAGCTGTAAATGAGTCCAACAAGGACACCTGCCCTACGGGACCCAGGGTCAGTGAGGGGACAGGGACATGTCTGTGAGCCCTAACTTAAATAGTTACAAAGGCTCCATCCGCCCCAGCCTGCCATAGCTGTCATTACACAAGGAAAAGAATCAGATGTCCTTAAATACAGCGTAAAAAGACCACACAGCGAGGTAGTCAAAACCGCGGGTTCGCATGCTTGACAAGGGAATGGACATCTCGGCCGTCCAGGAGGACTCAGGCCAGGGGCACCTGAGGCTATGTCCCGAATGCCCCAGAGCCACCGTGTGCCATGAGAGCCCCAAATTCCTGGGGCCAGGCTGGGTGGCAGCCAGTGAACAAGGCTGGGGGGGCACGGAGATGACAAGAGCGCCCACCGCGGTCTCAGCGGGGCTAACCCAGTGACGGTGGTGGGCAGGGCTGCTCACGTTCCTCCCCAGCAGCAGTGCCCACTGCAAGGCTGGCCTGTGCCAGGGGCATTCAGCCTTTTCCTAAACAAGAACCTGATTCCTGCCAAGATCGGCTGGCAACCCAGTGTACCGGCCGGGATGTGGGAGGGGAGCGGTGAACCGAGCCAGCCTTCCCACATGACCCTTTTAACCCAAGCGCGAGGTCTGCTCTCAGCCCAGGGCAATGTCCGGCTGCCACCACCAGGACGTGGATGGTTCGGGTTTGATGTGATGGAAGAAAGCGCTGAGTCCCCTCAGTGCACGTTGTGACCAGCCCGGCAAACAGAGGCCACGGAGGTTTCGCATTTCACCTACAACGGCCCCAAAACAGACAACCTTGGTCCACGGCTGCCTGGGCAAACCTTAGCCCTAGACGCTGCCCCATGTCTCCCTCTGACTCGGGCGATGGCCTTCTCCCCCAGTGGCAACGTCTAGAGGCGTTTTTGGATGTCGTGACGGAACCAGGGAAGGGGGGTGCTTCTGAACATGCCACGGTGCACGGGACCGCAAGGAACCAACCGGCCCGGATGCCCATGGCGTCTGGGCTGAGCAGCTGGGCTCAGACGACTCGGCCCGAGCCCCGCGGCCGCCCCTTACCCAGCACCTCCCGCGGCTCCTGGCCCTCAGCCTGCAGCATGTCTTTCAGACGCTCTGCCAGCAGCTGGTCCAGCCGGGAGGCCCCCGGAACGGCGAAGGGCACAACGGTTCGGCCGTATGCCCCCAGGGTCAGCTCCAGCCTGGGGTCGTCGAAGGTCTCTGAGGAGTAGTTGATGGCCAGGAGGGCCAGGGTGACGCATGTCAGCGGGACCAGGACCTGGGCCACCACCATCTTCCACTCACGCAAGCTGTACGTGGCCTTCTTCAGGAACATGGCCCAGAACTGCTGGCAGTGGAGGGCGAGCTGTGGCAGAGGGGACGAGCTGCCACGGCTGCCACGCAGGCCAGCGTGGGACCCCCACCCAGAAGCAGCAGCGGCCGGTCCAAATGCAAGCCTGGGGCCTCGGGCTGACATGCACCCCAAGGCCCTAGGGCCGCTCGCAAAACTCCTTCAGTAACATGACGTGGCCTTGGGGGAGGTGGTCTCGCTGCCGTGGAGGCCAGGCGGGCGCCGGGCGCTGGGGGACCAGCTGCGGTCCCACAGGGGAGCCAAGCCTCTGCCCTTCCCCTGATCCTGGTGGGAGGACCCGGCGTGCGCTCACATGGGAGCAGAGGGGCTGCCCTTTGCTGTCCTCCCAGAGTGGGTGCCGGGGTCAGAGGGTCAGAGGCCTGCTCAGCCACACGCCAGCTGTGCCCCTGGGCTCAGGCCCCCCGTGTTCTGTCTGCAAAATGGGGCCTATGCTGCTCTCTACCTCACTGAGCGAGCACGAGGCCTACGGCTAGCCCTCGGTACACAGAGCACCATGAGCATCATGTGCAATGTTCGCTCATTCATGAGCGGCCCAGTGACAACAAGAGGAAATGACAGTTGCTGATTAAAATGCTCTGGGTTGGGCACCTGGGTGGCTCAGATGGTTAAGCGTCTGCCTTCAGCTCAGGTCATGATCCCAGGGTTCTGAGATCGAGCCCCGCATCGGGCTCCCTGCTCAGCGGGGAGCCTGCTTCTCCCTCTCCCTCTCCCTGTCTGTCTCTTATGAATAAATAAATAAAATCTTTAAAAAAAAAAATGCTCCGGGTTTTCCTTCTCTCTGCCATGACTGCGTGACCTGCAATCTACTTTCTTCCCAGGGAGCTGAGCCTCCGCAAGCCCTCGTCGGCCCCCGTGGATGCCAACAGGTGGGGTTCAGGGGCCCCCCAGCCCTCTGCGCTCACCCCAGTGTTGAGCTTGGCAGTGGTGCACTCGTCCTCGATCAGGGAGCCCACGCCGTTGGTCGGGTCCATGGCCCCACACAGGTGGCTGTCCACAGCCCAGTCGCTCGCCCGCCTCTCATGCTGGTATTGCAGGGCAGGGAGCTGGATGGCTTGGATGTCCATGCTTGTGTCCACCAGCTTGCCGACCCTGCGCCGAGACACGAGAGGCTGGTCAGCGCTCGGCTCCTCGCGGATGCCGTCCCACTGGGAGGAAGAGCACACCATTGGCTTTGCCGGCTGGTAGGCGGTTCATTTCCTCACTCACTCATCCATAGATGCCCCAGACTCCAGGCACCGCAGCCAAGTGGAGTCCGGCAGAGACATCCAGACAAGGCCCTGCCCATGAGGACCTCCCTGGGAAATGGGCCGGGCGTGTGTGGGGAGTGTAGGCAGGGAGGCCGGCCACTCTGTTGCCTCCCCTAGGACCCAGGATCCTCAAGCACAGACCTTTACCTCACACCAGTTTTGTACTTCTAGTTCTTAACACCCTGTCTGCCAAATAAGCACTCAAGACAAGTCTGGTAAACACGTTTGTCGTCCCTGCCCCGCCGTGTGCCCGCAGTTCTGGGGGTCTGCCTGTCCAGCCCCCACCTTCATCACAGACAGACACCTGCTCCAGGAAGGGGCCCCCGGGACACCTGCACACTCCCCATGAGGGAGGGGCAGAAGTTTCCGGAGACCTGAGCTCAGCGGCCCTCTGCCTGGTGAATGCCGTGGGGCTCGTGGGGCCCTGCCTGCAGCCGGCTGTCTGGCTGCCCTTGGGGATGTGGGGTGAGGGGCTGCCTCACTGTCTCACGTTAAACAGGCACGTGCGCCCAGACTGTTGGAAATGCGCATCTACTGACCGGAGGAAGACCTCCTCCATGGTGGTGACTGAGGCCCCGAAGCTGGCGATCCCCAGCTCCTTCTGCTGCTTCTCCAGCTTAGCGAACAGACTTTCGAACCTGGAAACAAGACCCCGAGTGAAGAGCCGCGTCTCAGTGACTTTTGAGGCAGCCTGTTTCTCCGGGCAGTCTGGGGGAGCAAAGGGACCTCCGTCCTTGAAAAGCCACTGCAAAGAAACCCTGAGGTCGGGCTTGGTTTCCCCCTTTTCGGTCCCGACGGGACCTTCTGCCCTGAGTATTGGGCCTGTGGGGCATTCCGTAGTATTCGTCCACATGAAATCACAGAACAAACCTAAAGAAACTGGTGAATATTCATCTGACTCTGGGGTAGTGCTTCATAGGAAAAAATCCCAAAGTAAACGGTATGACCCATTACACGTAAAGTATCCGCGTGGGAAACAAATCCCACAAAATTAGTCAATGACCAACTGGAAAAAAAACCACAGCAAAAAATGGCTGATAATAAAGATATAAAACACTCTGATGGACAAACGAGCAAGAGATAGGAACGCACACCGCATAGCAGCCAGGCTCCACCTCCTGCTGGCAGGAACAGAAAAACACAAAATGCCACTTCACCCACTGGATACACAGATGTTTAAGAAAACCTTACTGGAGGCTGGCAGCCATGGGGTAAAATGGTGTCTCTGCCATCCTGTTGACGGGGAAGTCAAACACACCTCCTTTCTAGGAGGGAACTTGGTACCATTTACCCTGCTATTGGGACTCTATTCTAAAGGGGGGGGGGGTCACTGGAGGTTCAGACAAAGAGTTTTCTAGAAGGTTCACTAGCATATTTTGGGAAGAAAACCATGTGCGCGTGGTCACAGTGCAGATGTTGATGAAGTCACGGCATGACCGGGTCGGGGAACCCTATGAATTTATTAAAACCACACCAGTCAATTGAGCTCTTTGAAAGATTAAATGTACTTTCCAGATTTACACCCGCAGTTTCTGAATGTGAATCGAGAGTTTGATTGTTACCCCCCACACCAGGGGTCTGCAGGACTCCAAGCCCGACACCAGGAAGAGACAGAAATGCAGGATCCCACAGGAACTCGGAGTAGCTGCCGTGCGGGCCTGACCCGGCTGGGGGCCGCAGACACTTTCCCTCCAGGTACGGGAAGGTCTGCCGGCTCTGCAGCCCTGGGAGGCCTGCCTGCCAGGCCCAGCAAGCTAGTTCACCCTGTGCTGTCACAGGCCCGCTGGCTGAGCCCAACAGGGACAAGGTGGGTCATCTAATCCTGGAGCCCCTGAGGACCATGGAGCCCCCTCCTCTGGCATGTGCCTGTGCAGCCCCGGGATGCGCACCTGTGCGTGCTCTCCTTGGGGAGGATGAAGGACAGCTCTGAGCCAGCTCTGCTCTCCAGCGTGGCACTGGGAACATGGTGCTGCACCAGCCGGGAGATGGCCTCAGGGTCGCAGTGAGGCTCCTTCACCAGCGTCATGTGGTAGCCTGCACCTGAACAGCAAGGACCCCCATGTGATGCCATCTCCCGCAGAGGTTGTCTCCCCTGGCCCCGGGCTCCTGATGAGGGCAGGCTCATGGGGAAGGGGCCAGAGAGCCGCGGGAATGCACCTCGGAGCCCCTGGGTGCCCGCCGTACTGCGGGCCTGGCCTCCCTGTCCTCTGCTGGGCAGAGATGCCGGAAGACTTGGTGGGGGGGAGGGGGGTCTGCTGCATGGTAAGGACACGAGGCCCAAGCAGGACTCCGGACTCCAGACTCCAAGTCTCAGAGGCTGCAGCAGGAACTGTCCCCGAGACGCATGCTCCCTGCCTTCTCCACAAGGGAGCCCTGGGGATGCCGGCCGCCCTCTCCAGCCTCCCTCCAGCCTGAGGGGGAAGCTGCGGGAATGAGGCATGCACCTCCCAGGGCATCTGAGGAGGGGAGCTCAGCTTCTGTCTTTGCTTCCCTTGTGGGCGGGACCTGGGTGGACCCGCCACGCTAGACTGTGTCAGACCACGAGCTGCCCTCGAGAAAGGAAGCCACGCTCACGTGGCAAACCATGCACCACCACCAGTCCTGGACCGTGCCACGGGCCATCGGCTCGAGAGCCTCTACGCTACCGAGCGTGGTCTCTCCAAGGGCACCACTGGTCTCCGTGGCCTCGGCTGGTGCTGGCTGCTCTTCTCTTCCCTGGTCACAGCTGGACGCCATCCTAACCAACTCGAGACTGTCTGCTCCTTTGCTCCCTGCTCCTATCACGGCCCCTCTCCTAGCCTCAGGGACCCTCCAGGCCAGGGACAGGGCCCCGTGGGGAAGGGAGGCAGTCCTGCCCCCGCCGCCCATCCACCCGCGCTGCTCACCATACTTCTGCTTGAGGAACAGCGAGGACCCGCAGCACTGCAGCTCCCCCTTGGCCATGATGGCCACGCGGTCCCCCAGCAGGTCAGCCTCGTCCATGAAGTGCGTGGTCAGCAGCACGGTGCGGTCACTCTTGTGCTGCTGCAGGAGGTCCCAGATGGCCCTCCTGGAGATGGCGTCCATGCCCGAGGTGGGCTCGTCCAGCATCAGCACCTGCAGGCAGAGCAGTGGCCGCTGGGGGCGGTGGCAGAGCCGCGTGGCAGGCCCGGGCTGGCTGTGCGGGAGGCCCTGTGAGGCTCCAGTTGGTGAAGACGTGGCCATCCCGCCCTGGCCAGGCTGCTCTGCAGCGATCCGGGGGCCACAGCCAGCCCGTGCCGCGTGGGGCCTGGAGCCCGATGCCTCCGTGCGGCCGTCCCGAGCGGCCATCTGCGTGCGCAGGGCCCTGCCCCGGGGCCTCCCGCCCGCCTACCTTGGAGCCCGCTATGAGGGCGATGCCGATGGAGAGCTTGCGCTTCATGCCCCCACTCAGGAACCGGCTCAGGGAGTCCTGCTTGTCCTCCAGACCGAGGACGTGCAGCATCCGCTGGACTTCTTCAGGGCACTTCTGACGGGACAAGCCCTTCAGCTGCAACAGCGGGGGACGGAGAGGTCCGGCAGGGGCTCCTGCTGGGAGGCTGGCCCGTCCAGTCCTCGAGGAGCCTGGCCTTGGTGTCATTCCCTTTTCTCCGTGAGCTGCACCTGGTGCCCTGACGTCCCTCCCCGCCTCCCAGTGCAGATCTGCGAACGCTGCTCAGAGTGTGTTCTGTTTGCTGGGGGGCTGAGGGCTCACGCCCTGGGGCGCAAGCACACAGGCCACAGAACCAGCACGCGACCTGAGTCCGCTGAGCCGCCGGCTCACCTGTGCGTAGAAATACAGGTGTTCTGCGACGGTCAGGTTGTCGAACAGCACATCGTGCTGTGGGCAGAGGCCCAGGCTCTTGCGGATCTGAACCATGTCTTGTGAAATCTCGTACCCATTGATATACGCCCGTCCGCTCGTCGGGGGAAAGAGACCTAGGGCCAAGCAGAGGACCCAGAGGTGTGAGTTCAGCACAGATACCCTCTGCTCGGCACGAGGGTGGCCCGGGTCCTATTCATGCAGCTTTGCTTCATTCTACCGAGCACCCTGGCCATGAGTTTGCGGGCGAGCCTGGTCCCGCCTCAGTGGGTGAGTGGGCCTGTGGTGGGGCTGCCAGAGCAAGGGCCACGGCCCCTCACCTGTGAGCATGGAGAGGGTGGTGGTCTTCCCTGCGCCATTGTGGCCCAGTAGCACCGTGATCTGCCCCTCGTACAGGTTCAGGTTCAAATCTCTGACGGCCGCCTTGCCCTTGTTCCCCACTCTGAACACCTGCAGCAAAGGCAGAGGACGCCCTGGACTGCAGGCCCCACCCCCGACTGCCTCCAGAATGCCCTCTGGAATGCCCACCCAGAGGGGCTTGGGAGCCCATGCCCAGCACCACCAGTCAGTGCAGAGGTGGGAAGTTTCGGGCAGAGGCTGACTGGAGGCCATGCTGCTCCCCAGCGCTTCCCCCACCCCCACTGGGCAGGTCCCCCACATCCGTCCCTGACAACCGTCCCCGTGCAGTGAGCACAGCAAGTGTTTGCTGCAAAGCTGATGGGAGGTTAAGTCCAGGTGGTGCTGACTCAAGCCTGAGTCCCCCGGGCCCTGGGGATGGAGCCTGGGGAGTGGTTGGTGCCCAGACAGCTGGTCAGAGGGCAGCCATGGGACCAGGACCTGGCTTGGAGAGAGCCCTGGGGAAGGTGGCATGTGTCACGCCTTGTGGCTCACAAGGTCCCCACACCCGCCCAGCCCACGGGGTGTGGCACCTTGGTCACATGCTTGATCTTGATCCCGGCCACCAGGTCCTCCGGCTCAGCCTCAAAGTACTCCGTTCTGAGCGCTTTCTCTGGGTCGTCTTCCTCTTCTTTTCCCAAAACTGTCCGCGGGTGCCCACACCAGTACGATGGCTAGGATGGAAATCAGACGGGTCTCAAGTAACCGACCCGTGTCGGTTCATTTTGTGTGTGATGAACGGCAACATGTTTACCGACACGCTGAATACACGCAGCATGTAACCCTCCGCCCGGGGGAATGTGTCTCCTCCCTCCTCTATCCTGGGGAGGCTCGGAGCCCCTTCCTGACCTGCTGTCTGGGCACTTGGTCCCTGGCAGGCTTACCCAAAGTGCAGACAACATAATCCAGAGAAGTAAAACAAAACTTACAAATGTGTATATGTAAAAATCTAAAAGTATGTTTATAAACAGATCCACACGTTTATATTTAAGATAGCTAAGTCAGGTTAAAAAAAAAAACAAGTTTCAGGCATCTTTCCAGCATGATCCCCTTTCTATAAACACAAGCATGTGTATGTGATATGTATGTGCGTAGAAAAACAGTCCAAAGGGCTACATAGCACGGGGTCAGCCTGGTTCATCTCTGGTGGTGGGATCTCGCAGACCCTGGAGTGCAGGGCTCATCTCGGGCAGTGGAGGGTCTCAGGGCCTTGGGGACACACGGCTCACTGACCGCACATGGGGCTGGGTCACGTGCCAGGGACTGGAGGGGCCCGGGTGTGTGCGGAGGGCACCTCTACCCCCAACACAGGCAGCCAGCGTGCGGCACTCACCATGACAAAGAAGTACCAGGGCTGGGGCACTCCGAACTGCCCTGGGAGCACGGCCTCCACGTACCAGGTCACCAGGCCATAGAGGACAGAGTCCAGTAGCAGCATGCCCAGCACTTGCCCGAAGGAGAAGTTGTCGTCCACATTGACGGGACTCAGGAGGTCTTGCCACTGGACGCCTACGCCTGGAAGACAGAGCACGACCTCCATGCTCATCCATGTGTGTCCACGTACATGGTACATGTATGCACACGCACCATCCACAGGTGCAACCGTGCAAATACACAGATACATGTGTATGATTCAGGGAAGGCCCACATGAATAGTGTATGTTTAGTACAAGTCTTTTCAAAAAATAGAAGCACTTGAGACATGTATAAAGCTCGACTTGTGGTGCCCACAGGTCTTGCCTTCTGTTTGGTTTGAAACACCGCAGCCCAAACGGTGCCCGCAGCCTCCGCATGGCCGGCTACCCTCTGTCGGCTCCAAGCGGCTGTGCTCTGGTTTTGGTCACTTTCAAGCAACCAGAAGTTTGTTTTAAGTAAAATTGGTGTAGAACTTTGAAAACCAAGAGTTGCTCTACAGTTACGTTCTTCTTAGTTAATGGCTTTTAAGAAAGTATTTGAACCCTGGAAGGGGCAGTGCATTGAAAAAGTCTACATTTACCATACACAGTTAAACACAGAAACACAGACATTTAAAGGCCGAAGCGCGAGAAGACACCGCCACGGAAGAAAACAACTCTAATGAAAACTAAGGCCACACGGATGATCTGTGGCCTCCCTCCTCCCACAGACCCATGCTAGAAAACCACAGCAGCCAGGACCATGAGACACGAGACCACGAGACCATGAAGCCCAAGACAGAGAAGCCGGGCAGCACAGGGCCCAGCGCCCGCAGACGCACAGGTCCGTCCCCAGACGGGAAAGGCCAGCACAACGCCATAGCCATGCAGAAGCTCACGCTCACCCTCCTGCCTCCTCTTGGCGGTGACAGCCCCCTCCACCCCTCCAAGGTCCTCCCGGGAGGACACCCCCCAGCAGGTGGGCTCTAAGGGTAAACGGGGGCCTCTCCAACTTTCAGAGGAGCAGGCTGGACCCCACCCTTGAAACCCGAGCAGGCGGCCCCTGTGCCCAAAGACGTGTTTTATTCAACCCCTGTGATGTTTACACGAAAATCACAAGAACAGTTCTGGCTTGTGACTTGTTTCTCCCTCATCCCCACTCACTGCGCGGGGAGGCACCTGTTCTGCCACCTGACCAAGAACTGGGGGCTGGTCACCACCCACAGACTCTTGAGGCCAGGGCCTCACTATTCTGAGCACCCCAGGCGCAGGCAGAGGCTCAGAGGTCTGCTCTCTCACAGCCCCAGCTGCTCCCGGGCAAGGAGCTCCGGGCGAGTGGTGGCCGTCGCTGCACTGGGCACGTTAGCGCTCTGTCCTCTGAGCGTCCGGGTCTGGCCTGCCTCCCCCGGGGCTCCTGCCCAGGCGAGAGCCTCCCCACCACGGAGCACCTGCCGTCCCCTGCCCCGCTCGCTGAGCTGTCCTGCTCGGAGCTGGAGCAGCGTGCTGGAGGTGGCCCTGAGCACACTCTCTTAGTAACTCAGTCGGCAAGGGCCGCTCGTCAGAAGGAAGAGACTCACCTTTTGCTTCAAATTTTCCTATGAGCTGGGCTCCCATCGCCATGGCAACATTGGACAGGAGACAGGAGAGCAGCTTCTGGCTGAGAGTCATCCAGTTGTATCGGGGAGCAACGAAGAAGTATGGGATGTAGGTGAAGAAGTAGAGGAAGCCCCCTATGGCGGCTGCCATGTTGGCTACGGATGGAGAGAAGACAAGTGTGTTGAATGCAGGGGAGAGCCCGGGCTGCCCACCCCGCCCGGCATTGGCCATTGCGTGCGGGGATGCGGGCGCCAGGGCTGGGGGACCCCAGGCTCGGCCCGCGGCCTATCCTCTTGTCAGGGTGCATGTTCTGCAGGGACCGTGACCCCACCTGGGGCCACACGCCCTCCCCATCCCGGGGACCCACACACAGATGTCCCCAGCCCTCTCCTGCAGACTTCACCCTGACGTTGCACAGTGGACACGGCCCAGCCCAGCCCTGCTTCTCACCTGGTCCGTCCCCTGTCATTCACTCATCCGTTCCACAGACAGGCCCTGTGCCGGGCACCGGGGAACCTCCCACAACCACACACATGAGCTCTTCCCCTCCCGGACCTTGTAACCCACTGGGGGCGCAGAGTAATGGAGCAGAGCAGAGTGTGCTGGGTGGGGACAGCCCTGTGCAGAGCAGCAAGGCACAGATGGGGACCAGGTGTCCCCTGGGCTGGGGTAGCGACAGTAGCCAGTGGGCCAAGGACAGCTGTGACGGGAAGGTAACATGTGGGAAAGGCGTGATGGGGGAGTCACAGGGAGAACGGCATGGCTGCAGTCTGTGCTGGCAGCCTTCAGATGCTCTGGTCGTAAGACCCCTCTATGGTCTTAAAAGTGATTGAGAACATCAGAGAACGTGTGCTCGTGTGGGTCACAGACGCATGTATACGCATACCAGTTCTTGCGGGATCGCGAATTAGTACTAAGAAAATTTAAAGATTTTTCAGAACGATAACAAACCCACTAAAACTGAACATAAGTATTTTCATGAAAGTCAGCTGTATTTCCCACAATTGAGCGAGGCAAGTGGCATTGTGTTCCATATCTGCAAGCCTCTGCAGCGTCCGATTTAAGGGATTACGGCTGTTCTGCGGTCACCCTGTCATACTATGCTGTTGGGGACGAAGCCCCTGAAGAGAACCAGCTTCACACAGGCTGGCAGCTGGACAAGGGAGGGTACGTGGACAGCCTTCTCAGATACTTGCAGCTCTTCTTCCTAGATACAGAGTCACTCAAGTACCACTCCATAGCTGCTCGTCTCAAAGGTCGGCTGCCATGTGGACCCAGACTGACCGATGAGCCTCTCACGCTCGGTTATGTGAGAATCTGCTGGTCTGCCTTGCACTTTGGAGGGGTTATTCCTCAGGCATGATTTTGTAATGTGATGCGTCGGTCGTGCGGAACGTACTGTTTGTTGAGCTACGCAGATCTTCCAAGTGTGGACATGTTTTATTGTACAACATACAGAAAAATCACATTGGCTGATTAACAATCGCCAGTCTCCTAAGAGGCTAAGTGCTGGGACACCATCAAGCTCTGGGTGTCAGCTTCAAGTTCGTAAAATCCTATTTTTCACTTGAAAGCTGTCAGATGCTGTCAGTTGTTCTCCTTAAAAGACACTGCAAATTTGAGAAAAATGCCTGCCAAACACCCAGGTGACCTGAGTAATTATAGTCCGGGGGTGGTTCTTTTAAGCAAAAATGGTGTTCCAGGAAGGAAGGAAGAAAGGAAGGAAGGAAGGAAGGAAGGAAGGAAGGAAGGAAGGAAGGAAGGAAGGAAGGAAGGGGCTCATTTAGCTGACAACTCAGGTGCCACCCACAAGCTTTTCCTCAAGACAATCATCACCCTTGAGTATGCAACAAGCACTTTATGCAAACATCCCATTTCATCCCACGGAATGTTTAAAAAGTATACTTAAGAGTCAACGTTTAATAAAATTAATAAATTTTGCTGCTCATCAAGGAGACTTCTGAGTGAAATCAACACTTCTCGTTTGTCGTTTGCTTGCTGGAGCATGCGCAGGGATGACGCCCAGTGCAGCTTGGGGCCTGTCCTGACTGGCACTCAGAGCCCACGGTTTTACCTTCCTTTGCTTCTTTGCCTGTCAGCGCACACATCAACATGGTAGAAAAGGCAAACGACATCTGGGTAGTCTCATAAAAATAGTTCTGACTTTGTGAATCCCCCTAAGAAACTCGTAAGTCCGCAGGAGTCTGTGGACTGCACTTTGAAAACCTCCGACCTGGCTGAGGCAAGAGTGTTAGAAGGCGGTGTGGCCAGCCTAGAGCAAAGAGGCTGGGCAGGGCCTTGCAGCCTCAGCAAAACCTTTGGCTTTCCCTCTGAGTGAGGCCGACGGTCACAGGAAGGATTGAGTGGAAGAGTGCCAGGCTCTGGAGGCTCACACTACTGGCCATGTCCAGAGCTGAAGGGTGGCCAGGGCAGAAGCAGGAAGACAGCTCAAGGCCACCACGGGAACCTGGCTAATGGGTGGGGCAGTGGAGGTGGCGGGGACGGGGATTCGAGCTGCCCTTCTGCTCGGATGTGGTGCAGAACTTGAGAGAGAGAAGGATGTCAGGGATGATTCCCAAGGTGTTTTGGTGAGTGGCAGGAAGAACAGGGTACTCCCAGCAGAGACAGGGAATGGGCTTCTGAGGACAAGGTCAAGAGGTGGTGATGGACATGCTCGGGTGGAGATGCACGCTGAGCATCTCAGGGAAGTTGTGTGTGAGTCTGAATGTCAGGAGAGAAGCCTCAGCTGGTGCTCAAAATCTGGGGATGAGCCACATGTCCAGAGTCCTCCGAGGGGAGGCGTGCGATAGGAAACACGGGACTTCAGGATCAGGGAGTCGTGGACGTAGGAGCACGTGAAGAAGTGCTTCCTTCTAAAAAAAAAAGGGGGGGGGATGTTTTCCCACAAAAATGGATGAGGAAACAAGAGTAAGTGGATGTGTACAAGAATCAGCTGAATATTCGAAAGAGAGAAATAGGGTAGGAGAAATAAAGTCTTGGTAGATTCTAGAACATTCTGGAACATTCACAGTCAAACAGACAACCAGGGAACTGGAAGACAACCGTGAGGAAGTCACACAGACTCAGCACAAAGATTTCCGTAAGTATGGAAAAGAAGCTGAGAGACATGAAGGAGGAACACCGCCTCACGCCCACCAGGATGGTTACTACCCAAACCAGAACATGAGGAGCGCGGGTGAGGATGTGGAGCCCCAAGAGCTCTGGGCAGAAATGGAAAGTGGTGGCGTCACTGTGGGAAACAGCCTGGCAGCTCCTCAAATGATAGGCACAGAACCAGCGCATGGCCCGGCAATTCCATTTCTGGGTACAAGGATGTGCTTGCACGCTTGAGTTCACAGCAGCACGACTCATGGGCGCTGAAATGTGAAAGCAGCCCGTGTGTGCGTGGACGGGTGGGTGGATGAGCAGAATGTGCCCCATCCGCACAGCAGAATATCACACAACCTCACAACACCCACCAGGACGGGGATGAACCCCAAGGGCAGTGGGCTCAGCGAGAGAAGCCAGCCACAAAGGGACGCGCACTGTGTGATTCCACTCATGTGGGCTACTTAGCGTGGCCACAGCCCCAGAGACAGACAGTGGACGGTGGGTTCCAGGGACAGGGAGAGATGGCCAGTCAGTGCATAGCGGGGCAGAGCTTCAGTGTGGGAAGACGGAAGAGTTCTGGGGTGGGGGTGGGGACGGTCACACCACCGTGTGCACGGGCTTGCTGACACTTGACTGTGCTCAGGAATGGCGACGGTGGCCAAGTGTCAGGTGTACTCTGCCACAACGAAAAAAGAAGACACAGGACAAAACGAGAGGCCCCAGCAGAGGTCTAGCGGAAGACAGTGCCGCCGATCGTGGAACGCAAAACCTGGTGAACGTGAGAGCAAAATCATGTGAGATTGAAAGAAGACACGAGTCCTCAGACCATAGCGCTGGTAAAAAGAAAAACCACACCTCTGCTGGGGGCAGCGCGCACCTGTGGCCACAGTGTCCAAGCCCGGCGGGGACACGCCCGCTCACGGGACACACCCGCTGCGGGGGACAAGCCCCCCCCCCGCGAGACACGCCCATAGACGGGGACAAGCCCACCCCCTCTCAGGGACACACCCACCACGGGGGACACACCCGCCCGCTGGACACACCCGCCGCGGGGACACGCCCACTCGAAGAGACACACCCGCCCACGGGACACGCCCACCCACGGGGACACGCCTGCCGTGGAGACATGTCCACCCGCAGAGACACGCCCGCTCGCAGACACGCCCACCCACGGGGACACACCCGCCCGCAGGGACATGCCACCTCGGGGACATGTCCACCAGCAGAGACACGCCCACTCGCATAGACATGCCCACCCACGGGACACGCCCACTCACAGGGATACGCCCACACACGGGGACACTCCGCCCACAGGGACATGCCCACCGCGGGGACATGTCCACCAGCAGAGACACGCCCACCCACAGGGACACGCCCACCCTCGGGCAGCCTTCCCTGAGGCTCCAACATTATACAAGTGGGAGGACCCCGAGGACCAAGTGCAGAGCACAGCCCCTTCCGGCCTGTGGGCTGCTTTGACGCCCAGAAGGGACCTGCCAGGTTTCCTGAGCCGGGGTCGCTGGGGTGCCCACGGTCCTGGGGGCGGGCCGGCTCACCTTTGCTGAAGAAGGTGCTGACCATGAAGCTGAAGGAGACGGATGAGGTGGCGAAGCACAGCAGGAAGACCAGGACCAGCGAGGGGTCGCTGTGAGTGAGCACAGCCACGTCCTTCTTCACCTGCGAGGGCATCCCGGTGGTCACATGGGCAGGGCAGGCCGCGGCGGGGGAGGTGGGGACAAAACCAGGAAGACCTTAAACGTTCTGGCCTCAAACGAAGCTGGTGAGGGTGGGAGAGGGGCCGACTAGCCCCAAAGCCCTGGGCCGCAGCTGGGGTTGCCCCGGGGTGCTGCGGGGCCTCTGGCTCTCCAGTCCCCTCCACCGGCATGCTCTCCACCAGGCCACATTCACCTTGACGCAGAACAGCAGGGTCACACAGGAGACCGCCACGAGGAGGAAGAAGAAGAAGAGGAGGAACCAGGCGCTCCAGTGCAGCCAGCTGCTGAGCCCCATCATGCGCATGTACTCCTGGGGAGAGAGCCCCACACATGCACTCTGACGCACCTGCTGCCTTGGCCCAGAGCCTGTGCATCCGTGCGGATGCGCGGTGTCGCCCACGGGCCAAGAGGGGACAGCAGTGGGACGCCCAGGACACACGCTCAGCACGCGCCAGGCAAAAGACGTGGTTCACCTGTGCCCTCCTCCCCTGCCCTCCTCCTCCATCTCCCTGGTCTTAGGTGCTGCCCCCCTGGGATGCCCTGCCTGCTTCCGGAGGGATCAGCCCACCTTGCCCCTCACCCAGCGTGCCCCTGCCCTCCACTTAGATTCAACAATCATTCAACATTCCGCCATGTTGGTTTTATCTATGAATCTGTGGGCATAAACGTTTGCTTCTGAGCCATTTCACATCTGCTGCCAACCCCTTCCACATCACACCATTGCACCGCCGTCCCATCCCACACCCACGCAGACAGCACCCCATCCCCTCTCCTGGCCCCCAGCATCCACATCACACCATTGCACTGCCGTCCCATCCCACACCCACGCAGGCAGCACCCCATCCCCTCTCCCGGCCCCCAGCATCCACATCACACCATTGCACCGCCGTCCCATCCCACACCCACGCAGACAGCACCCGTCCCCTCTCCCAACCCCCAGTGTCCACATCACACCATTGCACCGCCGTCCCATCCCACACCCACGCAGGCAGCACCCCATCCCCTCTCCCGGCCCCCAGCATCCACATCACACCATTGCACCGCTGTCCCATCCCACACCCACGCAGACAGCACCCCGTCCCCTCTCGTGGCCCCCTGCTTACAAGCCCCCCGATCACAGATGTGGCACCTATGAGAATATGCTAAGTGTCACAGCTGCTGCCGAAGGAAGAACTTCAAATAAAGTCTGGGTAATTTCGACAGCGTCACCGGCATGAGTTTATGGGTGACGCTATCGTGCAGCTGTACTTGATTAAGGCAAGGACACCTTCCATACTCCTTACCCCCGTTCCCACTGCACCTAGTGGTGCAGACCTACAGCTGTGCCTGACCCGTGCAGAGTGAACGGGCCTTCTGCCCGGCCACGAACCAAAATGTTTGGTCCCCCTGGGGTGGCTCTGTTCAGCAGGATTTGGATGTGAGTAGGTATATAATTTAGAGTTTTCTAGTGGCCACAGCAAAAAAGTTAACAGGAACCCGTGAAATTAGTTTAACGCTGTGTTCTGCTTGACCTAGCACATCCAAACCATGGTCTTTTCAACATGTCAGGCTTCAGCGCACTGCACACAACATGTGGTGCTTTATCAGGGTTTTAAGACCTGGATGCACCGGGCTTGATTTCACAGAAGCCCTGGGATTGCCGGCGCCACGGTGGGCGTTCCACCCCACGTCCGGCTGCTCGTATGGCTCAGCGCCCCGCTCGCTGCCTCCCCCCGGCGCATGGCGCCTGCACTCAACCCGCCGAGACAGTTGGAAGCCACACAGAGCACGGCTACCTTCAGCTTCCTCTCCTTCTCCTGCACGACGGCCCGGATGATGGTGAGCGAGGTGTAGGTGAAGCTCAGCATGAGCAGCAGGGGGAGCTGGTACTGGATGGCAACCAGGAAGGGGTCCGAAATAAAAGGGGGGTAAGGGAACCTCTTCGCGATCACGGTGAGCTTCTCAAACAGCTGACGCGTGGAGGCGTTGGCGTGGTACTGCATGATGGCCCTGTCCACCGCATGCTGCACGGCCAGGAAGCCTTCACGGATGTACCCTGAGTGCGGAGCAGTGGGAAAAGCCACATCACGGGTGCTGCTCGCTCACTCAGCCGCGTGCCCTGAGCCATACTGGGGTCTCCCTGGTGGACAGGGCCACGGAGCGACGCCACCTAACGCCCCTACGGGGGCCCCATCCTCATCTCCGACACACGACCCCTTCCCGCACCCCCAAGACCAGCCAGGCGGCACTGGTCTGACCCTCTCTTCCACCCCCCTTGTCCACTTTGGAGGACCCCGCTGATTACATCGGGCCCCCCAGGATAATCGACAGTAATCCTGCTATCTTGAGGCCCGCTGAGTAGCAGCCTTACTTCCTTCCACCCGAGCTAGCGCCTTCAAGAGAGGCAGGCGTCACAGTCCAAAGGCCACTGCTCAGACCTTCGAGTGCTTTGTGCTCTCTCTGCTGGCCCTCTCTGACCGTCCGCCACATGCTCTGTCATAAAAGTCTGCCAGTGAGGCAGGAGGAGTGACAGACCAGGGGTGAGGGATTCCAGTGAAGAGCCTGGCCTGTGTGTTAGCCACTGTGGCGTGGCTGCTCCCAGCCCTGAGGAGTCCCCCTCTCGTCAACCACTCCCCCTGCTGAAAGGTCTGTGACCAGAAACAAAGCCACGGCAAACACCTTCAGCATGTGGATCTTCTCCTTCCTTCTGACTCTTCCAGGGGCTGAACTCCCTTTGGGGACCCCGTGGGTCTGAGTGTGGACATGGGGCTGGGGGAGCACGCCGAGCTTGTGCTGTGTGCCTGGCCTGCGTCCCTGCCGTGGCTTGAGGGCCTTCGTGTGCTCGCACCTGGCGTGGACTATCGAGTCCTCAACATAAAAAGACTGGACCCTTGTCATCCGCTGGAATGCTTTCCCCAGGCTCCTGCTTGCTTTTCCTTCTTGGGCAAATTTTGAATTTATACCTAGTGAAATCTGCTTCCAAACTTAGGAAAGTGTACCCAAAAACAGGAGGACAGTCTCTCCTGCTGCTGGCCCCAGGCACCAGCCACAGTCTCTAAACACTGGCCGCCGCCTCCCTTCCTCCTGCCTGCCTGCCTGGCCGCCTGGCACTTCGTTTCGGGACATTCCTGGTTTTTTCCACCAAAACCTGGACACGCTCTGTCTCCTGCAGATGGTGGAACCCTGTGTTCTCCGCAACCCAGGACCCATGGACTGGGCTACTCCCTGCTCACCCCCAGCTCTGTTCCAGGAGGGCAGCCGTGCTTCGGGGGAGACGCACATGCTGTGTGGCCTGTGTGTGCCTGCCCAGGCCACACGGGACAGACCAACGCGCACACTGAGGGGGCACAACCAGCCAAGAGCTGGCTTCGGCAGGCGCCCCGCTCGCACAGTCAGACCCCGGACAATTGCTCCAGGACCACAGAGCTCCCGAAGCCCACACAACCATGCACAGCAAAGGCCACGGAGGGAAAGGAAGCATGAGGCCAAGCCCACAGACGCAACACCAATAGCAGCCTCTTTAAGACTGAGACACAGAAGTTTCCTTCAGGAGCACTCGTCCTCGGGGAAGTGGGGACAGTGCCTCTAAGGATGTGGCAGTCTTAACCCATCAGAGCCAGCTTTCCCGGACGCTTCCTTCCCTCTACGCGGCAGAAGACCGAACAGCCCTAAAGGAGTATTTCTGCAGAGGGACGCGAAGTGGGGCCCCCGTGACCGTCCCGTCAGCAGCCCCGGGAGGGATTGTGGCTGTGGCTTCTCACCAGGTTCTCCGCCGTCAGGGGACGCAGGCTCCCTTGGTCCTGGGTTTGGGAAAAGTGGGAAGAGCGAAGTGGTGTGCCATCCCTCTGTCTCTTTCAGGAAAAAGGAGCCTGTTTGGGTCCACATGTAGTTTCTTCGTGTGTAGCTGAACCGTAAGTGGTATTTCACCTACGGGAACAAAGAGAAAAGCACCCACTCTGAGGGATCCAGACAGAGAAGCAAACATCGTGTCCAACGAGAGAGTTTAGGGGTTCATTACCGTGAACTCCACACCCCCCCAACCCCCCCCCAACATCCACAGGGTCCTGGAGCATCATGGTGAGTAGCCCTGCCCTGGGTGGGGAAGGGAGCCCTGAGATGCGCTCCTGGGGTGTTCTTGCCAGCCCCGTCTTGCCAGCCACCTCCAGGAACTCTGCACCCAAGGCGCCCTGATCATCAGTGGAGGGTCCCCAAAATAACGCTAGAGGAACTGGATCATTTCCTGGTCTTGATGCCACCAGACAGGAAGACTTCCTCGTGTTTTAAATAACTGAAATTCTAGTGCTGGTGTCCGGAAGTCCCACGTGTCTGCTCCTTTCCCCCCTGCCCACTTGACGGCGCACAGGGGACACGTGGGAGGACTAAGGGGTCTGCAGTGGGCCACCGGCTGCCTTCTTCAGGCTTTCCCAGCCGTGCTGGCCCGACGGGCTAGAGCGGGACCAGGGCACCCTTGGCGGGGACCCAGCCGTGCTCCCCGGCCCGGTGGTGAAGCCAGGTGTGGCCCAGCGGGTGGGCAGAGAGCCTTCACAGGCTGGGCTGGTTGAGGAGGGGGAGGGGCTGTGGGGCGGGGTCCTCACCGCCAGAGGCAGGGGCTCCCCGCTGTGGTTGAAGGTGTGCTCAAACACCAGGGCGGCCAGCACGTTCGAGGAGCGGTTGTTGTACCTGATGTAGTCCTCAAAGTCTTTCTCCGAGGGAAAGCCGCGAGCTGTGGGAGAGCCGCGAGTTGCCCGAGTGCCCGTTCTACTGGGAAATTGGGCTGCTTCAGGTCATTTTCAGGAAAAGACTGCAAATGTCCAGGTTTCTCTAGGGCTTTGTATCCCTGTCCTCAGAGTCCAGGAGGCTTTCGTGGGGGGCAGAGAGACTGGCTGCCGTGGGGACCAGCGGCACCCTACCATCAGGGCGGCCAGGTTTCTGGGGAGAGCTGGAGGCGGCCTCCCTGCACGGGGTGGCCTCTGTCTCTGGCCATGTGGGGTGTCGTGATGGGAGTGGACACTAATGTCATGTGTCACACGGTTTCTCTGTCACCAGACCCCACACCACGTAAAGGGCTTCCCGTCATCGCTCCGTGAGGGCCAAGAACCTCCCCCGAAGCATTTGCCACAGGGCATTCAATAGGCCACAGGTGGTATACACCAAAGAGGAGGCAGGAAAAGCAGTAACACTTTTATCCTGGAAGCAAAGAGTGAGGCAAGGAGACAGGTGCATGTACTGGGCGTGTCCCTCAACGGGCTTCCCGATGCCTTTTTCGAGAACCGTCCCCCCAAAACCACAACCCAGGAAAGGTGCTGGCAGGGCGCACTCACGGCACACCTTGCCCGTGGAATTCCAGAGCTGTCCCCACCATGAACCGTTGGGAGTGATTCCAGAGCCCGTGCTGCTCCAGGGGTCACCCATGTGGTCCCCATTTTATAACGAGTGACCCGCCAACGAAGGCAGATGCTGAGTCTGGCCACTGGCTGGGGCGGCTCACCTGGGTTCGTCCCCCATAGCTGGACGGGAGGGGACCCAGAGGACACCTCACCTCTCATGTTGATGACCAGCGTCCTCCGTGCCATCTCCGTGATGGTCTTCACGGCGTCACTCTGGGACGGGATGTAGGCAAGCTCCCAGGTGTCGCCTGGAGGCGGGAAGCTGAAGAACAGGGGCAGCTCTCGGATGGACTGGCCGGGGTAAATGGTGGCATTGGGAACATTTTCTGACTGGATCTTCAAGCGGAGCCATATCAGGATCCCAGAGAACAGCAAGGGCAGGAAGAGCTCCAGGACGGTCACCAGGACTTTGCGCTTCTGCAAGAGAAAGGGAAGGAGCCAGCTGGGGGAGCGCGAGGCCGGCAGGGGTCACGGGGCCCTCCCTCGGTTTGCCCCTCCTGGGGCCCGGTGCACGGGGGCACGCGCCTACCTGCACAGTGTAGTTCTTCCAGAGCAGGAGCACCAGCTGCCTGAGCACGGCCATCTTCAGGCTGACGGAAGGCTGGGTGTACGGTGGCCGCGGTGCACCTGGGGGCCCCAGGGCGGGAGACCCCCCTCAGACACAAGCCCTCCTCCCGCGTCCCCGCGTCCTGTCTGCCACCAGAGAAAGACACCAGCTCTGCTCCGTCCACTCACGGAGAAAGCGTGCTGCGAGGCAGTGGCCGGTCTCCTGCCGAGACGCACCCTCAGTGACAGGCTCTATGGCCACGTGCTGCTGGAGGGGCTCTCATCCTGCGGGAGATGCCATATAGGTGTCCCCTGTGGTTCGGATGAATGTGCTACCTCTCTGCGCATCCCCCCGCCCCCCTCTCCCGCCGACTGGCCACCCCGGCCACAGCCACGGTCACAGAACCGGTGAAAGCACACTCAGCTGGCCCAGAGCTGCGGGGCGGGGAGGAGAGGCCTGGGAGGGGGCCCTTGCCAGCCTGGCTGACCAGGGGACAGGACGTGGTAGGCAGACCTGTGGGTGGAACGATGGCCCTCAGGACCAGTTTTTCCTGCTTTAACCATGAGCACTGGTATGCGGCCTCCACGTGACAGTGGTCATTTTCCTCCAGAGAAAATCTGCCCCATGTCACGTAGGAGTATTATGTTTAAACCTGGCACATATGGCCGCGCAGGGCTGTAGAGAGGCTGTCCTATGGGAGACCCAGCAGAAACGAGAGCCGGGATTTCTAAAGGTCTCCCCTCACCTGGGGAAATGCATTTCCCCAGACTTCTAGTGTGAGTGGCAGAGACACGGAGCCCAACACTCATGAGACACTCACCTGCCGCAGAAGGAGGTGGTCTGAAGGAGCTCAGGAAGACCCCACGACGCCCAGGACACGGCACCCCCGCGTTGTGGAAGCTGCGGGCATGAAGGCCGGGGGCGGACGGAGCTGCACCCACCCAGGGTGGGCACGTGGGCGGCGGAGGTGGAGGGCCCCCCTTGCCCCCCAGAGCACCTGGTTCCCGTCCACACGGTGGTGAGGGCGCAGGGGGAGTGGAGGTAGGCCCCTGGTGCTCACGGTCCTGCAAGTGGGGAGAAGCCTGTGTGACGTACGCAGGAAGTTCTGAGCTCAGTGAACTGGCTCCACATGCAGGTGGGCGGATGCAGCTGCACACCACCCGCCAGGCGGGTTGAGAGAGCGCAAGCCCTAGACAAACGTCCCTTAGTGAATGCCCAGAGGACCCGCCTTGAGAGCTCCTAGGTGTTTTCTCACAAAGGCCAACTATACATTTGGCCCCAATCAGTTGAAAGTCATTTCCACTGAAGCTCTTTTTAAAATTAAACTCTTGCTTTTTTTGGAAACGATGTGGCTGTCCATATCTGTCGGATGATAGTTACTCAAAATTCACGCGTTTAAGGGTCCTCAGTGAATACTCGTAGAGAACACAACTGCAAGAAGTTATTTACAAATCAACCTAAGATATGCTTTTAATTAACCATGTGGTTAAAATGTGAAGAGATTAAAGCTAAAGTAGCATGAAGTGCTATTAAGTGTCACCTTAATAAATGATCCAAATTCTTTCAAAATTAACAAGGTGGAAAAAGTGTCATAAAATCAGCTGTAGGCAGTTAATAAAAGAATATAAATAATAAAAGAATAAAAAATAATCAGACCCACGAGGGCCTGTGGTTTATCAAAGGTTTCTAGAAGTGCTTTAGGTCAGACGGGGGATGGCAGTGCCTCTAGCAGGACCCGCCATCCCCACGACGTGACCTGGCCTGACCGGGGTGAACCTTCTTCCTCTCCCCAGAGGGGAATATAAAAAGGTCATGGTTCAAAGAAGTCTTCTGGTCAGACTTCTGGAGAAGTCTGGCTAGGAAAGGACACATCCCCGTGCTTACTCCTGTCTCTCCGGCCTGAGGAGAGCGGGGGACAGAAAGACAGATCGACCACGTTCCCACAGTCCCTACAAGGCCAAGAGCAGCACCCGTGCACTGACCTGGGTCCTGGGAGAGGCTCCTGGCCACGGTCTCCCTCCGGGGCTACGGCAGGACTGGCCGGGAGGAGGCGGCTCTGTGACCAGGGCTCTGGGGTGGGGCCTGTGGGCCTCTCGAGTGCAGCGGGGTGACGGACGCCTCACGGGACATCAGGAGGGGCCCAGGACTTGCTGGCATGACTCTACTGGGACCTCTGGGCAAAAGGAGGGCACTAGAGCATAATTTGGAAAATAACCAAAAAGCACCTCTCACCAAGTTAGAAAGTGAAGAGACCAAAACAGATTGCAAGCGTGTCACTTAAAACAGAGCAGATCCAATAACAAAGAAATATGGATGCAGGGAAACAGAGACTGCAGGGGTGGGTCTTTGTTCCCTCCTGATATGTGGAAATAGAAGGAGCTTTCACGTTAGACACGCTCACCCAGGCCTTGCTTCTGCCATCACCACCTCTTACAGACGAAGAAAGGAGGAGGAAGGACCCAGCCCTGATCACACAGCAAGAAAGCCGTGAGCCAAGACTACAAAAAGTAGTAAAATCTTTATAAAATTGTATGCATTGCTCCCACAACGCACCCTTGGAAATCAAACAGAGAAACTATCCCCTGAGCCCCACCACCTTCATGGGTATCTACTGGTCTCCCTCCAGCACCTGGCCGGCTGCCTTGTGCGTGCCAGGCCGCATCCCAAGTTCTACCGAATGCCTTACTTGTATCTGTTCTGTTTGAGCAGAAAGGAATTTAAAGGAGATTCCCAGAATTACAAAATCTGGACAACTTTCTGGTTATGAAAGCAAATGTACACGAGGAAAGGAAGTTAAATGTTCCTCAAAACACTTGACACTGAGGCACAGAGTCCCCAGAAGAGGTTGTGCAGAGCCAGCCCCACGCCTTCTACTCTAAGGTAAACACTCAGGTGGGGGCCACTTGCGAAGCCGCCTCTGCCCCACATGAGTGGCTGAGAACTTCCCCTCCAGGGCTCACTTCACTCCTCCAGGGACAGAGCCAGGAAGGGAAGGGAGAGCTTCCTCCCCCCCCCCCCCAAAAGGCTTGTTTGCTCACTGTTAAAATATTAAACGTTACACAAAGTGTTGAGTGTTTCGGTGTTTGCTTTTTAGGTGAGCGATTGAACTGGTCCAGAGTGAGTGTGTCCTGTGTCCTGTGGCCTGCTGGTTTCGGGGAGCTCTTGTGATGACACACAGGATTCCTCCACCAAGGGCTTTTCCAGTAACTTTCGTGAGTACAAGAATTATGGATTGTGCCAGTTACAAGCCCCTGTGGCCGCTCGGGTGCATGTTCAGAGCCCAGACATCTCAGCTTCCTCATCTGTGGTTTTCTTCATTACGGGCTTGAATCTGTCATCCACTGTCCATGTGCCCATGCAAAATAGGTTATTTCAGCATACATGGAACACAGCGGCGTTAATGCTTCTAGAGAGGTCACTCCCGAGGAAGCCTGAAGGCCAGCAAGCTAAGTGGACAGGGCCCTGGGGCCAGGCACTCACCCTGTTGTGTCACGAGTTCCCGTCACATCCCGAGCTCAGTGCATCTCCTTCCAGGGAAGCCTGAGTCTGCCCAGGCCTGGAGGACGGCATGGTGAGAAGGAGGGGTCTCCACGAAGCTGGGCCTCCGCACATCACACAGAGAGCAGACAAGCACAGCTTTACCCTCTTTCCACGGGTGTGGAATAGAGACAGAGCCTTACTGGTGGCGCTGGCCAGGACTCGGCACTTTTCCTGAGGACCAAGGCTGGTGAGGACCCAGCTCAGCTAGGAGAGCATTTCCTTATCGACATGGGGAGTCCACTACAGTGAGTGGTAGTAAAGGTCTATGTGTGTCCATTCCAAATAGGTACTTAATGCTTGTGGGTAGAATCTGCGGTCTTCTATGATACATAAGACAAAAAAGCATTGATTCCTCCCACAAACATCTGCCCAGTGCTTGCTGTGCAAGGGGTGCTGAGGGTGTGGAAATGGAAATCATAACATTCCCATCCCAAGATGCTCACAGTCCACGAACATGTCTGTGTACTGTAATTGCTGGAGTCCAGCCAAAGGAGGCATCATGAGATTCTGGAGAGGACTGAACTCATGTGTGTGTGTGTGTGTGTGTGTGTGTGTGCCTGATGCGAGGGAAGCTCTGAGAAGGCTCCTGGGAGTGAGGGACACCGGAGACCGGTGTCGAGTGTCCTCATAGCTGGGGGGTGGGGGGGAGGGGAAGAGCGTGTGTGGGGAGCAGCCCGTGGTTCTGAGTACCTGGGCGGGGAGCAGTGGGAATGAGCCAGAAAGGGAAGCTGACCAAGGCCTCGGATGCTGTGCCAAGGCAGTGTGCTGGGCAGGGGGCATCCACATGGGCAGTAATGCTGATCTCCAGGTGTTTTGTCTGATTGTTTACCCAGCACATGATCTCATCTTTCGGGGTGTGTGTGTTTTTTTGGGGGGGGTGCACAGTAAACATGTGAAAATGTCTATTTCAGTGGATTCTGCAGATGCAAAGTCTAAATAGCAGTCAACGCTGTAAAGCATAGGAGGAAAGCGGCAGGTGCATTTAAAGGGTGGTCCCCGCCAGCCAAGCCTACCACCAGCCTCCAGGCAGGGTGCGAGACACCATCTGCTGGACGAAAGGAATGGTGAGAAACTGCACTCACAGGTATTTTTCTTTAAAAATGAAGGGGAGGGGGGGCGCCTGGGTGGCTCAGTCGTTAAGCGTCTGCCTTCGGCTCAGGTCATGATCCCAGGGTCCTGGGATTGAGTCCCACATCGGGCTCCCTGCTCTGCGGGAAGCCTGCTTCTCCCTCTCCCACTCCCCCTGCTTGTGTTCCTGCTCTCGCTATGTCTCTCTCTCTCAAAAAAATAAATAAAATCTTTTAAAAATAAATAATAAAATAAAATAAAATAAAAATGAGGGGGAAATTGGGGTGCCTGCGTGGCTCAGTCGTTCAGCGTCTGCCTTCGGCTCAGGTCATGATCCCAGGGTCCTGGGATCAAGCCCCACATTGGGCTCCCTGCTCAGCGGGGAGCCTGCTTCTCCCTCTCCCACTCCCCCTGCTTGTGTTCCCTCTCTCGCTGTGTCTCTCTGTCAAATAAATAAATAAAATCTTAAAAAAATAAATAAAAGTGAGGGGGAAATTGGCTTTACTGATATTCAGTAGGGAAGGACCCTGGCACGCCTGCTGGCCTGTGTGTTGGCAGCCACGTACCCTGACGGGGATGGCGGCTTCTGAGATATGGCAGGGATGGCGGCCCTCGCTCGCTGGTTTAGTTTAAGCCTCGCACACGTGCCGGACTTCATGTGATTCAAGGTATGACGTTCAGGTGCAATTAAAACACACACAATCATGGCTGAAGCGTTACGATACTTTGTAAGGATTTGGGAAGTGACCGTGAATACCCTTGGTGACAGGAAGGGTCACCAGTCATCTCAGGACTTAGAACTTAAGGAGGAAATACATATTTTCTCTCAAGAAAAGTTCCAAATCTGGAGGTCTTTTTCTTTTTTCTCCATGACAACGGACCGCCGTGTGTCAGCTACCTCATTTCTCTTAAGCCGACATACTCAAATCTGTCCCTTCAAGGAAAAGGTGACAATGAGTGAGAGTTGTGGTTTTTCAAAACAATCCGGGCTAGGAATGGAGCATTTATGAAAAGGGATGTGTGGAGCCCAGGGGCAGTGCCATCTACATGCACACGCACATGCTAAGAGTAACCGGAGCTAGACGCTCCACCTGCCCCAGCAGCCCCTGAATGCTTACCCCGCCCCCGCCCCCACCCCGCAACACAGCAAGAGCCCTCGCGGGATTGGTGAGTGGGAAAGAAAGGCAAGTCCTGGGCTCCCAGCACAGTCTACGTGGCTTCACGAGGTTCATGGCATTTACCGGCGACACACCAGAACCAGGAACCAAAATAAACAGAACCTAGAACCAAACCTTCGGATGAGGACTTAGGGTTCACCAAGACTTTATAAATGGGATGCAGACTTGCTCACATGGCTTTCTTTGAAAAACAGCATATGGGATGGGGCGTCTGGCTGGTGTAGTCGGTGGACCGTGTGACTCGTGATCTTGGGGTCGTGAGTTTGAGCCCCATGATGGGCATGCCGACTACTTAAAAAAATTAAAACATCCACGTTTTTATGATTGATCTAGTAGCACTAATACGCTCAACAAATTTGACCATGTTCACTTTGCCTCTCATCCCTTTAAAAGGTCTATATTGGTGTGTATTTCTGTGTCCATGATATTTAGGATGGTAGTATGTGGCATTATTTTATAAATAAATGAAATCCACGGGGGTGCAAACTCAAATTCTTTTACATATAGCAGCACACAAGAAAAAGCGGATGACGTATTTACACAAGTGGCCCTTGCGTGGATGAGGCAGGAACAAATCCACGAGGCTCGGTCATTGTCCAGGAGCCCCAGGAGGCTGGGTTCAAGGCTGTGGTCACGTGCATCAGAGGCCCAGGCAGAGACCTGGTTTGCTGGCCTCGCACTCAACACCACCATCCACCCAGTCCAGGGTTGGGGCAGCGGTCTCCTTGAGATCCTAAGGCTCTGAGTTCACAAAGAAGCTCCTGGCAGGGGTTGGTGGGGTGTATTTTTAAGACAGGCGAAGGGAAGGTCTTTTAAGACAGCCCAAGGGAAGCTATGAGGAGAGAGTTCCACAAAATCGGTCTGCCTCCTGCTTTGCTCACCCCTTCTGGAGCCTCAGTCCCACTGCTGTCCTGCTAGCCGTTCCGCCCCTCTGGGTGTAGGAAATGAGGTAATGAGGCGATTGAGGATCCCCGGGGACAGGTAACCATGGGTCTTCCACAGCAAGCTCATTACTCAGCTCCTGCAAAGGTACCTGTCTGCCTGGTGACTCCAAATCTCTGGGCCATTCAGGGGGATGGGGACTGACATGCTCTACACTTTCCCAAGAGGGTCCGGGCCTCCTGGGGTTTTGTCTTCTTGGAATATCATCTCCCAGTCCAGTCCCAGCCCCACTGTGAAGCAGCCACGGACAACCCTGGCCCAGGGGGTCTTCATCCTGGCTGCACAATGGCATCTTCTAGGGGTGCTTTAACTCAGAAACTGACATCAGAGGTCCACCCCTGAAGATTCTGGGCTCTGGCCTGGGCAGGGGACCCATCCCAGGGTGATTCTACCATGCAGCCAGGGTTGAGACCTTCTGCTCTTGCTGAAAGCCACCCCTCCACCTCTGGACACCCGCAACAACTTTTCCGATGTGTCAAGTGGTACTTGTCTCATTCTGTCTGATGTCACAGTTACTTGTGAATAAATCATTCTCTTTAGCTCCATCCTAAGGTCCCCAAGAGCAGGGACCACATCCAATTAATCTTTCCATCATGCACAGAGCTTTGCCCATCCTTTCCCCCTGACTTCTAGAATGTTTTCTTTCCCCTTCACCAACTCAAGAGCAGACGAATCTACTGTCGTCTTGGGAGGCAGGGTTGGAGAAGAGTCAGTCAAGTGGGGAGTCTTCCCGGGCCTTCCCCGTCGAGACTAAGTGAAAACAGGTTCCTACGAGACCGGCACACACACCGTGTAAGGCTAGTGTCTTTGAAAAAGCCACCTGAGGGCGCCTGGGTGGCTCAGTTGGTTAAGTGACTGCCTTCAGCTCAGGTCATGATCCCAGGGTCCTGGGATCGAGTCCTGCATCAGGCTCCCTGCTCTGCGGGGAGCCTGCTTCTCCCTCTCCCACTTCCCCTGCTTGTGTTCCCTCTCTCACTGTGTCTCTCTCTGTCAAATAAATAAATAAAATCTTTAAAAAAAAAAAAAAAAGCCACCTGAGCTGATCTCTCCTATTCTAAACGGCTGTGTCGTCAGCATGATGGGAGATCACCAGAGAGGGAAGGATGTCATCTTGTTTGTCAGATATGATGACCAAGTGGTCAATTAAAAAACAAAACAAGGGCGCCGGGGTGGCTCAGTTGTTAAGCGTCTGCCTTCGGCTCAGGTCATGATCCCAGGGTCCTGGGATCAAGCCCCGCATCGGGCTCCCTGCTCCGCGGGAAGCCTGCTTCTCCCTCTCCCACCCGCCCTGCTTGTGTTCCCTCTCTCACTGTGTCTCTCTCTGTCAAATAAATAAAATCTTTTAAAAAACAAAACAAAACAAAACTGCAAGGACTTAAAAAGAAGAGTGAGGGGATTCCCAGGGCGTCCAATTTTTTCCTATGTTCCCTTTTTCTTATGTTCCCTTGATGCAAACTTTCTAGAGGAAAAGAGCCTTGATCTTTTCAAGTTTACACAAGGCAGCACCCAACTGTTCAGAATCAAATGACACAGTTGCTCAGGAGGAAAAAAAAACAGCCTGACTCACTTGCACCCTGCCCAGGTCCCCACTCTGTCACGGGGTGTCAGCCACCCATTCAATAAGCGTTTCTCCATCCCCTGTTCTGTGTCAGGGTCTGGCCCTGTGCTGGGAACCCAAGCCCTGACCAGGCCCAGGCCCGGCAGTAAGTGGGCTCACAGTGCAGGAGGCAAAGGGGTCAACAAACAGAAATACCGGATAAGGCAATGGGCTTTCATTAGGCCACATCCAAGGAAGTGAGGAGGGGGCCCTGGATTGCACACCAAATGTGCACCAAGTACACGTCCGTCCTAAACCCTTGTGCAGAAGACAGGACCTGCCCTCATGAAGCTACAGTGTAGTGTGTGAACGCCAACACTGGCGTAAACGCAAATTCGTACCATGGACTCACTGACCACGGACCCCAGAGGTTACTGAGGGCTGTTGCAGGCCTCTCCACCTAGACCAGGCATGCACGCCTTTCTGCCCGCCGCACAGCTCCCACCATGAGCACTGGACCCCTGCCCCTCCCCCCCATTCTTTCTCCCGGGAATGAAGGGCTGGGCGCAGGCCAAACTCCGGGGTGGGGAAGCACTCCCACCCACCCGGGGAATCTCGGCACGAAGGATGAGCCAGCAGCATCCCGGCGGCCCTGCTCCGCGCTCCCGGCCTGGGGGCTGCAAGGCTCTGGCGAGCGGCTGCCCCGAGCGCCTGCCTGCCGGACGAACGCCAAACGGTCCACCCTCCCGGCTCTGTACAAAGGGTGCCGCGGCGCGTCCAGCTCCGGGGTTCGCGGAGGAAGCCGCCCGCGGGGAGAGGGACACGCCCAGAAGCTCGGCCGAAGGGGAAGCCTGAGTCAGGGCTGCCTGGCGCTGCGGCCCCGCGAGGTGCACCTGCCGGGCGGGGCGGCGCGCGGGCGCGGAGGTGGGGGGTCCGGGGCGTGCAGGCCAAGCGCGGTGCGGCCGAGGGGGCAGGCCGGCCGGGCGGAGGGCGGCCCGGAGCCGCGAGCCCTGGGAGCAAGTGAGCGCGCGCGGCGGGTCCCGGCGGCACTCACCGACCCTCGGCGCCAGGGCGGCGGCGGCCGGCACGCTGCCCTCTTGCGGGGTCCCCTGCCTCGGGCCCGGCTGCGCTCGGCCTTGCGGCGGCGGCGACAGCGACGGCCGGTGCTGACAGCGGCTGGGACGCCCGGCGGGGAGGGGGCGCCTGCAACCAGCGGCAGGCGCTGACCGGGCGGCTCGGGCTCCTGCAGGGGGCGCGCCGGCCGGCTCGCGCGTGCGCAATGGGGCAGCCCTGCGGGTGCCCGGCCAGCCCGACGCCCCGCCCCGCCCGCGCCTGCGCAGTGCCGGCCGGAGGCGGGGTGGGGTGTGGTGGCGTCCACCTGCACTTGGGAGCGGCTGGAGCAGTCGCCTTCCGAGCCTCGACCTTCGCTGGCGGTCCAGCCATTCCCCCCAGCACTGTCCTTCTTCGGGCGCGGGTCCCTGTGTCGCAGAGGGAGGGCGACTGGCCCCCTTGGGACTGGTGCAGACTCCCGGGGGGCGGGGGAGCCAGGGGGTGCTGGATGGAGGGTGAGGAACTCTCTAGAAAACGGCTAGGTGGTTTGGAAAGCCCAGCATCCTGCGATGTGTCCAGGGTCATGAGGCAGAGTTGAGAAAGGCGGGGAGGCCTGGAGGTCATAAGGCCAGGTTGGGGTCACCTTAGCTGGAAGGTCGTGGCTTAGGGTTGTTAAAATCAGAAACAGAGACGAGCCTGGCGGGGGCCTGAGCAGAGAGAGCCAGTTTAGTCCTGGGGGCAGAGCTTAGTGTCGCCCCTTTTTGGCAGGGCGAACTTGACCCGGGTCATTTCTTGCTTGTGCCTCTGGAATTGATAAGCAAAACGTGAACCATTTGCCAAGGTTGATGGGAGGCGAGCCCTGAAAAGTGCCATATTGTCACCAGGCGCTGGCAAGAACAGTCTGCTGCCCTGCAGTGTGAGCAGCTTTAACAACCCCGCTCTCCCTCAGCCCCCTTCCGTGTTCCTGCTCGGCAAACTGTCGTTTGGTGTGTGCACAATCAGTTTACTGATTACGACTTCAGGGACTCATTGGTTTTACTTTGGCTATTTTGAGCCTTTGACAGGGTCGGGGCCACCTGAGACGGGAGGGACACAGGTCAGGCTGGGGGCACCTGGAGCTGAGAGGGTCCTGAGGCTGGGTTGGGTCACCGTGGAGGGGCAGAGTCACCTGGTAGAGGTCACGAGGCCAGGCAGGCATCACCTGGGACCGGAGGGTCCTGAGGCCGGGTTGGGATCACCTGGGAGGTGGTGAGGTTGCGTGGCAGGGGCAGGGCAGGACTGGGCCAGGGGCCTGGGCCGGAGCCTCTTGGGCGGCGGCGGCGCGGGGCCAACAGTCGCCGTGGGCCGGCCCACTCGGGTCCCCACGCCCAGACTGAGCTCTGCCTGGGGCCTACAACTCAGGATCCCCCGCGGCACAGGCGCACCTGCTGGTTGGCTGTGTAAACACTTCCTGGCATTGGTCCCGGGGGCCCACCTGGGGCAGCTGCTCCTGGGGCGCCGCCTGCTGCCGGCCTGGCCCCGGCCGCGCCCAGCGCACCTCCGCGACCAGGAAGCGGCCGATCAAACCGTAAAATAATGACCCGAGTTGGGAAGCTTCTGTCCCCTCCATCCCAAGGCTCCTCTGAATTAGCGATAGAGGGTCTCCCTGTCTTTCACTGTCTGAAGTGGTGCTGTTGACTTACGCGTTTGTTGGCTTCTCTTCTGTCTCCCTCACCAGAAGGTGGGCTCCATGGGAAAGGGACTTGGTCTAGTTCGTGGCTACATCTCAGGGTCCTGGAGTGCCTGGCAGAGGGGAGGCACCTGGTAAATATTGGTTGAAGAAGGAGTCAGAAGACCCGGCTTTGCGTCTGGACCCGGCCCCTTGGCTAGTGCAGGCATGTCATTTGACCCCTCTGAGCCGCAATCTCCTGTCCCTAAAATTAGAATGATAATAAGACTAGTAATAACACCAAACTCAGAAGTATTTTGTTTTCAGGTCAAATGGGAAAACGCATTAACACCAAAGAAATGGTAGTCCCATGTGAGCATAGTGGGACTTACTAGCCCGGTCTCTATAGTGAGCAGACAACAATGAAGCAAACAAAACACCCAAAAAGAAAAACAGAAAACCCAACTGAACACACTTACAATTCAGGTGGAGGAGTGGGTTATTAATGTGTTGCGAGCATCTTAAAAACTGTCTCTCCCATCCTTGTTCACAGCCTGCACCCCCTCCCTCCCAGCCCAGGTGTCTGCCCGGAGACTCTAGAAACCTGGCTGACCGGCGTTTTCCTCACTCAATCTTTCTTCTTTCAAGAACAAATCCTTGCTATTTCCAACTTATATTGGTTACACCTTGCAATTTTCCCCCAGCCCTTTCTAAACTTGAAAGGGTTCTGCATAACCTAATCCAGGAACGGAGCAGGCTGAGTCGGACTTACCTCAGATGGAAGGTGAAGGTGGGGGTGGGGGGGTGGGGACAGGAGGAAGGACTATGCAGGCCAAGAGAAACACCTGCAGAATAGTGATTGATACCTTTGTTCTTGATCTTGTTAGGGTGCCTGCGTGGTAATTATGATTAGTCACCGCAGTCATGAACTGAGAGGATGTAAGGCCACTGGCGAAGGAAGACGTTCTGTGGGAAGATTCTAGGCTCTGGACACCTGTTCACAAACAACTGCCCACAGCGGGTGGGCCCTTTTGATGGATCCTCAACAATCACTCTTCTGCTCAGGTCTCACTAAACCTGGATGCTCCCACCTGGTATTCTTCCAAGTGGAGGCCCAGATAAGGGTCATAATTTGTTCAAAGTCACACAGTAGAGGTGATACTGGAGCCCAAGTGTTCCGGTGTTCAGGATCCTGGACTCCATGACAGTCTCTGGTAGGTAAATTACTCACACTCACGTAATGTGAAAACATGCCAGGTCATTAATTACAGGAGATACTCCTTGGGGTTCCCGTGGCTCAGACATTTCTCAAGATTGATGGCAAAAACTAAGGTGCATGGTGACACTCATAAACAAAACTTACGGCTTTATAGAAGGCAGTAAACCTTGTTATTGCAAAAGTTGGCTGACATATTTAGATATATACTTACCCACACTCTATGCATTTTAAAAATGGAACCAATATGTCAGCTCCTATTTCTTTTTGCAGGGACACAAATACTATCTCCCTATCCATCTGTATCTATGTTTATATATGTACTTTCTTGTACAGCAGTGCCCACGTTGGGGGTATTCAATGCAGAATTTTAAAGTACAGTTTCTCTGATTGTTGCCATAGGAACAATGTTATAATTGGAGGCTTCGTTCCAGACCAAGGGCTGCACAATATACTCCGTCGTTCCCAGCAGTTGAGAGGCATTAATATGGTAGGGGTTAAAACCGGTTATGGACTCTGGCCACGCAGCCTCAAATTGAATCCCAGCTCTTAATGCCCCACGTAACCTCTTTGTGCCTTGGTTCCCTTGCGTAATGTAGGGAGCACATAGTACTCACTTCATAGGATTGCTGTGAGGATTCGAAGCATCGAAACATATGGAACACTTCAGAAATGCTTGACACTTAGCAAGGGCCCAGTTCTTAGTTTGGGGGAGATTTTGAGTAAAGCCTTCTATAATAATTTGTATATAGGTTCTTGTGTAAAAATTTTTTGTGTGTGTTTGAAAACAAAAATTCTCATTTTGCTTGGGTAAAAACTTAGGAATAGGATCATTGAATTGTATGGAAGTGTATGTTTAGCTTTATAAGAAAACATAAGAAACTGCCAAAATATTTCCCCACATGGCTGTACCATTTTGCATTGCCCTGTTGGTATATAAGAGTTCCAGTCACTCTGTAACTTTGCCATCACTTAAAAAAATTTTTTTCCACCCATTCTAGTAGTTGGTAGTGGTATTTTATTGTGGTTTGAATTTGCTTTTCCTAATGACATAATGCTGAGCATCTTTTCATGGGCTTATTTGCCATACATATATCCTCTTTGGTGCAATTTAAAAATTGGGTGTTAATTTTCTTACTGTTGAGTTTTGAGAGTTTTATATATTCTGGATATAGCTCCTTTGTCAGATAAGCAATTTGCAAATATTTTTTCTTAGTCTGTGCCTTGTTTTCTCACCCTGTTAATCTTTTGCAGAGAAAAAGATTTTAATTTTAATGAAGCCCAACTTATCAATTTTTCTTTTATGCTTTTCTTGTCATATCTCAGGAATCTTTGCTTAATCCAAGGTCACAGATGTTCTCCTGTAGGGTTTTTTTATTCCTAGAAGTTTTAGAGTTTTAGGTTTTGCACTTAGGTCTATGCTGTATTTTGAACTGATTTTGTATAATGGATTGAGGTATTGATAAAAGTGGATTTTCCCCCCATACATGATTCCATTTGTCCCACCAACCTCTGTTAAAAAGATAATTCTTTTTCCATTGAATTGCACCTTTGTCGAAAATTGACCATATTTGTGAAGGTCTATTTTTGAACTCTTCTGTTCCATTGGTCTGTATGTGTATCTTTGATCTTTTAGTCCAGGCTTTGGCACGCTATTTCCATAAAGGGCTGGATAGCAAATGTTTTAGGCTTTGCATGCCAAGAGGCAAAATTCAGGGTATCATACACATACTTGTTATATGAGACACGTTTCCAAAAAAAATTTTATTAGTGACTTTCAATATAATAATTGAATGTAATTTTTTTTGCAATATATATCTACTCATGAGAACAATGGAGTTCTTTTTTATGGGATAACATATTGCTTTGCCAGTGTTCAAAGACAGTGTTCCATACCATCAAGATTTATTGTAAATGTTTGTCTGTTAATGCTGACCTGTAACGAGATTTTGTCTATCTCACCTTGAATATGATTTCAGTTGAGTGTCTTCATGGCTTGAAAGGCATTGATAGAATTCTGTTAGATTCCTCTCTTGATCATTTGCCTTGTAACCTGTCATTGCATGATAGATTAATCACAACCAGTTGAAGGTGACCTGGAAGCTCCTCGATCA